TAAAGAACTATTATTACTATAGAAAATATATTAATCTTCTTAATGTACAGAGATTTACTGATACGTAGAACGACGTCGAAATAACATAATCAACTTTATTACTTTTACTCGGTTCCGTTTTGTTTCACGAAGATCGGTTAGCCAAATCCATTATCGTCGGCGTAATTGCCATCGTGTTAATGACGATCTAATGCGAGTTTTTTTCTTTGTATATAGATTGAAGAGAGTGGACTCTAAACAGGAAACGATTTACACGTGAAGCGTTCCAGCCTGAAAGTTAGCTGTAATCAGGCTCAACTGAGCGAGACCCTCGACGAAACCAAACGAAACTTCAACCAGCCTCTCTCATAATAGAAAGCATACTTCCTAAATCCACTGTTAATCCGATAGAATATCCCTTTCCGCAGTTAAAAAATCACGGGCGACTGATCGATCATCGAAATGTAATTATGAACAGATCTTATGTTGATCAATCTTATGGATACCGTCTTATAATAGTAAAAGAGTAAACATGCTAGGTGTATAGCCCTATCGAACGCGGCTTCCCAAACAAACGAAGACGTTTGTTTGAATTCTTCGATTGCTTGTTAAATATACAATCTTTCTCGGGTTCTTAATATTCGTTCATCATTCAGAACTGTTCGATCTAATTCGACGATTTAATTGCTATGAGAAAAAGGGAATGTACGACCGGCAATTGCACACGGATAGCCAGTATCGCGCGGCAATGCGTTTAATTTTAGCCAAATTTTCGTCTTCGATCGGTCTTCCTGAACATTTCGGTCGGCGCTCGATCATCCGACGAGAGAATGGAAACCATCTTGAACAACCAACTTTGAACATCGAACCCTGTCCATGAGGCGAGAGAGACACTTAATATTCTTTACATGGCGTGACGGTGACGTCATTTGTTGTAAACGCAACTGATCGCCGTGATTTCTTCTCGAAGGCACACGTTCGTGTTCAATACATGTGTGATTCATTCCATTGTGGATTTTTTTTTTCCCGTTATTACCTTCTCTTTCGTGTACACTACCGTCCATAAATACACGGTTGGACACCCATTGGTGAAATTCCATTAACCACTCGCGCTGGCAACTGATTGCGGACCATAACGAGTGACCAAACCATATACAACAATTCGTCTTCTTCTTGAATTCATCGGTACGTCACTGGATAGAAATTACTAAAAAGCAATAAATTTATTATTTGTTTCGCCTGGATTATACTTAAGTATACTTAAAAACTGAGAAAATATTGCAATTTTTGGCCAAATATTCACGACGTGCGTGGCAAGAGATTAACCCCTGGTAACTGATTGCGGACCATAACGAGTGACCAAACCGTATACGATAATTCGTCTTCTTTTTGAATTCATCGGTACGTCACTGGATAGAAATTACTAAAAAGCAATAAATTTATTATTTGTTTCGCCTGGATTATACTTAAATATACTTAAAAACTGAGAAAATATTGCAATTTTGGGCCAAATATTCACGACGTGCGTGGCACGTCATTCCAGCGCAAGAGGTTAACCACTTGATTGCGGACCATAACGAGTGACCAAACTGTATACAATAATTCGTCGCTTTCTTTTTCTTTTGAACTCGTCGGTATGATATCACTGGATAGAAATTATTGAGAAGTAACAAATTTATTATTTTGCTTGGGTATACTTAAATATACTGAAATATACTTAAAATTGAGGAAATATCGCAATTTTGGAGCAAAAAATTCTCGACGTGCGTGGCACGTCATTCCAGCGCAAGAAGTTAAAAGATTGATATTTCGACAATTACGATTGACGAACTGATTAATTCACTGCAATTCTTCTACTGTTAATTCACTGTATTTTCAAGTTTCATATTCTTCTCTAATAAAAATGAGGCTTGTGCCTCATAAAAATCTGTACAAATTTTTTTAGTGTGATTAGAAAAACCATATTTTTTTCAATATGATTAGTATTTTAATCGTTCTCAAATGACGATATACTTGATATCAGTGACATGACTATTCTAATATCCCTTTCATCAACATCTATTAATTACATATGTCGAGATTAAGTGAAAAAAGATTTATTTGCATTGTATTTCGCATTGCAATAATTTAAAAGTGTCCAGATGCTTATGTACGATAGTGTACGCTTGAAGGATACAAGTATCAATAATAAAAATTTCCCAAGTGATCGCAAATTTATCCACTCGTTTCACCATGTTCGAAAAAGATCCAAAATCTGGAAATTAGTAGGACTTGTTTTTGTTCGTAATCTCCACCTCGTGGATTTCTGATCAAACAAACTGAAGAATAGACGCAATCTGCAAGGAAAAGCTGAATGATCCAAGCAGATTAGCGCGATTAATCTCAGGTGTAGCGAGTGTTCTCGGCAAAGTTTTGTAATCTTCCGAGCCTCTCCCTGGACGTTCATTGACTCATGGTTCAGGGCTAGGTCCCGACTCCGTTTGTGGCGCGTAATAATGTGCGTGCGGTTCACTTCGCCGCAGAACTGGGACGCTGCGTGCTGAAAGAAGAAACAATTGTGGGAAGAGAAGTCGAAAGCGAGATTACCGTGATGCTTCTTTGGTGAATGTCCTCAAGTTTCCTTTTTTTTTTTTCTTTTCTTTAAACGACCGTTGTGGAGTTGAAACCGATGGGACGTAGGATATAAATATTCTTCATTCCAATTAACAAACGCGCGCAAAAACACGAACTCCGGACACGTAAATATGAACTACGATATCGTACGGAAAAATTCAATTCACACCGACACACGTGACAATTCTAAATTCACCATATATATGTATATTTTCTAAAAGTTCAATAAGCTCCTTGTAAAATTGTATATATATATTTAGTATACCAAAATCTTCAAGATGTTAAATATACATAAACATTTTTTTACAATGTCGTTCCTTTATTTTGAGTTTAGAATATGATAGCCAAAGGACACGCGATCATGTGTATATGTATATGCATACAATTCAACGCACAATTTCATTGATGCGTTAACTTATGATACAGAGATATTCTCGCGCGAAATTTCCAACGATGCTGCGTGAAAGGCAACAATAATTGTAAGCAATAAATATCATCAAAATGGCGGTAAGTTGCGTTCACCAGCGATTACAGACAAATGAGTCATAACGCTGCGTTTTCTAACGGAACGTGGTATACAGTTTCAATTCATCGTCGCAAATAAGGCCATATGTATTAAAGCTACTTGTACATGTTACATATGTAACGTACACACTAATTATACATACATACATTTATATATATATATATATATAGTATATATATTCACAGTTCGATTCATAAGGCGACGAGACTAAGGTACTCTTATAAATTCATTGATCCTTGCCTTTCTTCCTTCTCACTAGTCGATTAACGAAAACAAAAAAAAGAAAATAAAACCGTCAAAAAAATAGATACCTCTTTCAATTTTGATTACATCGTCGATATAAATAACAGATATAACTAGCTGATAATAAATGGCTACATCTCTTGAAATAAATCCTCTGTGCTCACGTGTGTAACTAGGACCGATGCGTGACAGACTGATTAAAGTAACTAGAGGATCGATAAACATCTGATTAAATGCCTAATGAATATCCTCCTTTCCACGATTCTGTACATACGACATAGATCGTCAAGATGTTAATTCTGAGAATGAGAAAAATGCCTTTCGGTAGGGAATTTATTTAAAAACTAGTAGCTATAAATACGTAGCACAGGCCGTGTTAAAAATCACAATTTCGCTTCGCGACTGAAAACCCAAGACATGGAATGTTGTCGGTATCAGCGTTACAGAGGATCAACTTCTCGAACCAAAAAGAAAAAAAGAAAAAAAGATCATTCATTGTCGCTGAACTATAATCCCAAACTCAATTCTCGTTGATACTTCGTTCTTTTTCAAGGGATGAGCCCTCGATGGCCGGAACTTTCATTCCGCGGTGTTGACTTTCATCTTCTTTTCAATACTTGTACACGACACCGTAGAAGCGTAACGCGGCTGACATCTTCCAATTTCCCATTGAAGTCGTGCAATCGGACTGGAAACGTCTTAATTTCACTGACAGATTTAATAGTCTCCATTGGCGATGTTAATTCGAGGTCAATTATGTGCGAACGCGATGGTGCCGCGACAGAAAGTTCCGCTCTCTATAAAAATGTAATTCTTTTTTTGTCCGCCTATTGCGGTCCGAGTTGACGTTCAGCAATTTCAAGTGGCCCGATTAAATGAGCTAACGAAGACAGAGAACGAATACTGATGAAACCATTAACGCTAGAACTACCGGCGACTAAAGTATATAAAACTGAGTCAAAGAAATTAGACTGCAAGGAATAAGAAAAGATTTATAGATAATATAACTTTTGTTCATATATGATTTTACAGAAATCTGTAAAAAAAACGTTCGTAAGTTCGCAAAAATCACTCTAAACAATTATGAACCGGTCATTTTGACCGCTTTGGTAGTTCTAGTGTTAACCACTTGCGCTGGCAACTGATTGCGGACCATAACGAGTGACCAAACCGTGCACAATAATTCGTCGCTTTCGAGAAGTAACGAATTTATTATTTTTATTTTCTCCTATTTTGTTTTACTTAAATATACTTGAAAACTGAGGAAATATTGCAATTTTCGGACAAAAAGTTCTCGACGTGCACGTCATTCCAGCGCAAGAGGTTAATATACTATACATTCGTAAGTAGTGAAAGTTTTGTTTCTCTCGAGTTTTGACTCTGCTCTATTTGACATCTGTTTTCCTTTTCTTGCTGAAGAAACACAGTGCCACAGTGTTGCTATTGTTTCATTAAGAGTCTAGAAAAATATTTCCTTCCTTTTAAAAATTAATACAAAACGCGCAAAAGGTAAGAAAGTTAGACCGCTTATTGAAGTTAAAAAGAAAAATAGTTATTACGGCCATTAAAGCTACGTTTATTAAAGGCCATTATGTAGAAATGCTTGTAACCGTACCATAAAAAACTGGGGGAGATCAATTTCGATGAAAATCTGTAACATCGTGATTGAAAATTGTATTGAGCAGACACATTCCTCAACAGAACTCGAGAAATCAACTAATTCATTCTAAATAGTTACTTGTGAGACTTACAGTGACTGCAAAATTATTGGCACCATACCCTTGTGAGACTTTTATATTATTAAATTTTAGCAGTCGTGTAAAAATAGCACTAAATGATATGTAGTTTAATATACTCGAACTTGATTAATTAACTAAAACGTAAACGCCACGATGAATGTTGTGTGCCAAGTTGATTTTTGTAGTCGCTAAAAGTCACAAGCCGTTTATTACAAACATGCTGTTTGATCTTACGATCCAATTACTCGTTGGTTAGTAGGATTCTTCAGCTTCGTTTCAACAATGCCTGTTTTTACAAGTGCCATCGCGAGCAACATGAATGAAAACCTTTGCTTTGTCCAAAATCGATTGACCATTCAAGGCCACTTGCTTCACCAGGGATACATACATCATATAAGAAAACGAACGATCTTCCGGAACAATAATAATTTTTACAGATTACATTTCAAACGGATATACCCTCGCACGTAAGTACCTATGAAATTAAATTAAAATACGAAGATTCTAACAGGAAACATAAAGAAGAATATTTTAACTTATGGTTATGGCGGATCCCGAATGGTCAAAATAATTTTTAAGGCCTCTATCGTTTTCCTCAGGAATCACTCCAAACTACCTATCTAATTAGTGCTCTAAATGTTCAAGGCCATCAGAAACACTGGACAGATCGTTTGCGTGTTATTTAACCGAACGTCTTTGGTATCCGAGGGAAAGAAAACAAGGGGAACAAGCGTGAAAGAGAGAGAGAGAGAGAGAGAGAGAGAGAGAGAGAGAGAGAGAGAGAGGAAGACGTTACTGCACGACGAAAGCCAACAGAATGGTTAATCCGACAGCAACGGCGAGACTAATCCTGTTTGCAACCGAAGTGGGTATCTCCGGCTGCTCCGGCGCGGTACCGTCCTCCAAGTACTGATAACTCTTGACTCCGGTTCTCGCTCTAACTACTCGATAGTTCGGCGTACTGATGTTGACCCGGTCGATCAGTATATTTTGCAGGGAGTTGGTGACACAATAAAAGTTGCCGTCCGCGTCGTACGCGAACGTGTCCGGCCATTGCATCCTCTCGTGATCTCTGGAGATGACTCTCTGGCCAGTGGCGAACGACGCTGTTTGTTTAGTGTCCCACATGGCCACGGCATCGTCAGCCAAAAGTCCAAAGTACAACACACCCTTCGCCGACATCATCATCCCGTCGGTCTGAGAGATTTTCCTTCCCAGCTCTTTCACGTGCTCGTCCACGTTGCTCGTGTTGCTCTTCAACACCGACGTCGGTATCGAGTACAGATGGAAGGAAGACAACGGCGAGTAATAAACCTGTCTGTCGGTGCTGCTCGCCGGCGACAGAGCAATCCCATCGACAGGTATCGGCATGTTAATCGGTGTCTTGGCGACCATGAATCTCACCGCCTCGGGTTTAGCTCTCATAGAATCGTGCCTGACTTTCCAGGAAGTGTTGTTGCTCAACGAGTAGACAATTATACCTGGATCGTCCCGATCGCTGTCCGTGATGTACGCCATGCCACCGTCCTCGTGGTCCAAGACGATGTCGTTCAGATGGGCGGTACCGTGGCGAGCCACCTGCGCAGGGAACTCGTAGACTCGTAAAATCTCGTTTTTGTTCTCGAGATCGAGGATCACCAGCCTGGGCGGGCAGGTGGTCTTCACTTCTACGGAGAGAGGCGACATCTTTCCAGAATCGAGCACCCACATACGCCCTTTAGGGTCGATCTCCATACTCTGAACGAACTGGAAGGCACTGCAGTCACCGATCTTCTGCATCTCCCAGCTGGGGAAAGCTTCCAATTTGGGAGCGGTAACCTTGTTCACCGGTGTCGCAGATGTGACACCCAAAGTCACTGGCACACCGTCCTTCCATCTCGGCAACGTCAGGTACATCTTGTCCTTCCAAAACTTGATGCCGGCGATGAAATTGTTGGCTGCTACGTAATCACCGTGGTCGATCGCGAACTGCTGTTCCTCCTCCGACGGCCACGTTACGTCGATCGAGTTCCATTGAAAGATCACCTGGAACGGCTCGTGGCACTTGGTCACGGTGATAAGAAGCAGCACGAACGCAAGAGTCTTCATCGTTGTACACTGTATTCGGTCACTGTATTCCCGGTGTGGTCTCACTTTTTCTTTTCAAGTCCAGTCACGTGGCAGGAAGAGACGAAGACCCGTGGACTGTCCAGTTGAAAACTGATACCCGGAACACACAGGGGGTGTCGGCGGGCCCCGGCAAGTGTCGCCAGGGATCCGGAAGAGCGTCTATTCTCGTCGACGAACCGGTGTGACGAATATTCCAAGTGCGTGCCAACTGTGTTGGCTGGCCTGCTTCTGTCAACCAACTGATTCAACACAGACTACTATTGGCTATCTAATGTTCGCGACGTTCTGCCAAGCGGTCTCAAACACCTAGCCCCCGTCACGCGGAGACGATCGCGGTTTAACTGACGAAGACGCGGAGCGTCGCTTAGAGAGGCGTCGTCTCCCCACCCGACCCCGTTCCGTGTATTTTGCACACTACGTATCGTCCGTGCACGTGCACACGCTACACGCCTGATCGTACGTGGAGCAGGGCGCGTGTGGGTATCGTACGTGCAACAGGAACAGCAAGGTATCCCCACGCGAGACGTAGGCTACGCTACTTAACCGTGCCGAGGATGCATCATGGATATGCAAATTAACATTCTTGTTTGAATCAGTATTCGTCGTCATACGACGCTCGTGTCATACTTTGAGTTTTCAACTCTTTATCGATTAATTACGCCGCGGTTTAGCAACACCTCTCTCACGATTGATTCGTTTCTATTCTTCGGTATCTTTCCACGAGTGAGTCACAAGGTCGGCTTCAGGTTCACTCTCATTTTTCTAGATTACGGAAATTAGACTTGATATCTGCAGAATCGTTATTGAAATTGAAACTCCGTTCCACGTTTATTATTAATCCAAAGTATGGACGATTTCGATCTTTACGCTGTTACGTCATCTGTTTTAACTTCTTGCGCCACGCGGGGAGAATTTTTTTTTTTTTTTTTTCCCCAAATTGCGACATTTCTCGCAGTTTTAAGTATATTTAAGGGAGTATTCTGGCAATCCGGGTTAAAAAAAAAAATCAATTTTGTTTCTTACTTTGTTTTTCTCAAAGTATATGCTTTCGAAAATGTCGATGTAAAAGGATTTGCTTGAATTCGTAAAATTCGCAAAGTTGTAGATGGTTAAAGGAAACGGTGTACTGCTCGCAACGTAAGTATGAATATTTTTGTACAACGGGTAACAAAACCTTTAAATGTGTTTTTCTCAAGAAATATTTCATTTTATAATATTATTTTTCATATTATTATTTATTTTTATATTATTGTTAGTTTATATTATTTTATTTTTTCTACTGCTCGACTGATTGTAAGTATAAATATTTTTGTACAATGGGTAACAGAAACTTCAAATGTGTTTCTCTCAAATCCATACTTTTTAAACTGGCTGACGGGGTATTTCACGTTTCAGTTGACCGATTGACTTGAAATTTGGAGGAGACGTTGACCAGATGTACCTTTACCGCATGAACCACGGATTTCGAAGTCTGATGTTTTCTTCTATTTTTGTTTACCACCCAAAAGACGAAAAGCACATGGAAAATCGATATTTAAACTTCAAAAATGCTGCCATTTTTTTAATTTCCGAAATTTCGCTGTTTCCGTGGTTCATGCGATGGTCATATTTATACTAATTAAGATTAAAAATTTCCTTTTTTTTTTAAACATGCTTTACCTAAGGCTATATAATTTCCATTAATTTCGTTAAAAAATAATTGAATGAATAATTTTGTGTGCGAAAACTGCATACCAAAGATGTATCATAGTTTCCTTAAAAAATCCTCAAAAAGTCGATTTTTACAAGTCGGATTACCAGAATACCTCCTTAAATGTAACCCAGGCAAAACAAATGACAAGTTTGTTACTTCTTAATCATTTCTATCCATCGTACCGACGAGTTCAAAAGAAGAAGAAAGCGACGAATTATTGTACACGATTCGGTCACTCGTTATGGTCCGCGAACCAGTTGCCAGCGCAAGAGGCTAACGACATTGATCTTGACATTAAAAACAATTGCGGTCGTTATCGGTATTCAAGGAAAGATTATTGTTAATTTTCTTAAGTTAATTTTCTATTTTAGCACAACGATCTGTCGATCTGAGATCAGATCAATTCTCCTTTAGAGTCGTACGATCTTTTTCCGCGTAGGTCCATTGTTACGTTAAACGAAACGACGGTTGAGAATGGAATGGCACTGGGCTCGGAATTGTATGGCCGGATCTGTTTGAAAAGGAAACGCTGAAAAGGGTGAGCTTAGAAAAGGCTGTTACGCTTCGCTTTATCTTGCCCGGGATGATCCCCGAAAAATCGATTCAACGGTTGCTCCTTCGAATTGGCCCCCTTGAATTGCGTCGCGCAGAATTCCGTTGAACTCGTTTTCTTTCTTGCTAAGGAAGGTCGATGATTAAAAAAAAACGAGTCAAATGGAATTTATAATTCACCGTAAGTATGTATGTAGAGGACAGTGAATTTGTACTCGTGTTTTACAAACTGCGTTATCGATTTCAAAATAGACGCGTTGGCCAGAAATATTTCGTCAAAGTGTTGACATTTCGTCGACGACGTCATCCAAGTGACCGCAGTGGATTCATTTTCTTGTTGCGTGACATCCATTGATCTAAATCGAGATGAATCAACGAACGATGTCGTTCAATGAATAACAATTCAGATCTCCAGAATATCCATGTTGTTCCAAGATACTATTATCGTGTCAAAAATTAGAAAATCAAGAAATTAGAAAAATTATATTTATATAAATTATATTTTATATGTTTGTAGAATTTTTTGTCCCAAAATTGTAATATTTTCTCAGTTTTAAGTGTATTTAAGTAAAATAAAATAGGCAAAATAGATAATAAACTTATTACTTCTCAATAGTTTCTATCCAGTGGTATATCATACCGACGAGTTTCAAAAAGAAAGCGACGAATTATTGTATACGGTTTGGTCACTCGTTATGGTCCGCAATCAGTTGCCAGGTGTTAACCTCTTGCCACGCACGTCGAAAATATTTTGTCCCAAAATTGCAATATTTTCTCAGTTTTTAAGTATATTTAAGTATAATCCAGGCAAAACAGATAATAAATTTATCGCTTTTTAGTAATTTCTATCCAGTGATATACCGATGAATTCGAAAGAAGACGAATTATTGTATACGGTTTGGTCACTCGTTATGGTCCGCAATCAGTTGCCAGTGCAATAGGTTAACTTTTTACGCTGGCGTGTCACGTACGTCGAGAATTCTTTTTCCCAAAATTGCAATATTTTCTCAGTTTTTAAGTATATTTAAGTATAATCCAGGCAAAACAAATAATAAACTTATTGCTTCTTAGTAATTTCTATTCAGTAATATACCGATGAATTCGAAAAGAAGACAAATTATTGTATACGGTTTGGTCACTCGTTACGGTCCGCAATCAGTTGCAAGTGGTTAATACTAGAACTACCAAAGTGGTCAAAATGACCAATTCATAATTTTTTAGAGTAATTTTACGAACTTACAACATTTTTTACAGATTCGAATCTTGTTTGTAAAATATGAAGATTATTATACAATTATTTGGTAATTATTAGATTATTATTGATTATTTTACAATTGTTCCATCTATATATATATATATATATATATGAATTAATGTTTTGTATCAAATGGAACACACTTTTGACAAAAAATATTAAATCATGTAACGCTCAAAAATAGTTCGTGTCGGCAACTGATATACGATCGACGATTTTACGAGTCAATGAATGGATGATGCGTGTCGTATTTTTGAGGCGCGCGGCACGTGAAAGGAGTAGAATGATGGTTTGGCAATCGTTCAAGTATCTATAAAAATTCATCAAGACTATAGAATCGACGAGCACGTGTATGGCTCGCGACATGAATTTTCTATCGCGAAACCAGCATCTTGCCAACGTGCATTTTATACTGTGCGTATAACGAAGTGAGAAACGATCGAGCAAAAACTATCAGAAAGATTCGCTTAAAGTTACGATTAAAGGAATTCAAGAAATGAAAATTCTACCCAACTTCCAAACGTTGGTCAGCGTGAACAGAAATCAGGCAGATCTCAAAGGCCACCTGTGACAAAACATCTATGGAGGAGAGTTTTATTGGCCATTAGAACGACGATGAACGAGGCATAACTGTTGACTCACGATCATGTGATGTATAACATAATGTTATAACAGTAATAAAGTACGTGTGCACTGGAAGTTCCATCTATAATGGCTGTCGGCTATTTCAACATCATGGTCATCCAGATGGACTTCCATCTTATTCATTGTTTTCATTCAGTGTAGAATCTTGAGACATTCGCCACTTTTTTTACAATTATATAATACACTGTGTGGCTCGTCTTTTGTAATTCATTAGTATGACTATTACAGGAATGCTATTAATCGGACGTCTGTTGACTGTCAAATGAAGTTTCACAACCAGGCTTCCAAGATCCTCTTTGGAAAAGCGCTTCCAGATATTTCTAATACATACTTCAGATTCTCTGCGTAACATGCTTTCTCGTCTAAGCATGAAAAGCTGAAATATTCTCGACTTTTATTGCGAAGTTTGTCACGATCTTATTTTTGCATTACATTTTCAGACTTACTTTACAAGGCAGTCATCCAAAGTAAACCAAATAATTCTTCACGAGTCACTGGCAGACTAGATGCTATTGACGTGCTCGTTAATTCAACGACGCCGTCATGCCTAGCGATCAAAAGTTTTTTCGTTTCATCGTTCATTGAGTTCTTAGCGAAACTAATGGTAGCTGCTTTGACGAATATCGCGGCGAACTGTTTTCATCTCGATCCTCGAACGTTCGTCAACGCATTGGTTTAAACGTTCAGGATTAAATCTTCGAAGTATGTATTGAATTGAGGTTTGGGTTAGATTGGATAGGCAAATTTATTTTACTTTTTTTTTATGTATATTTATTTGGTTTACATTTTGTAATCTGACAGCTGATTGTTCAAACTTGTTTTAGAAAAAGAAGATTGAAAGTGGAAAATTAAAAAAGAATATTTTGTATCACTTGCAGAAAGAAGAAAAATTGCTGTGCAAGCTCGCGAAAAATTGTCTAACGTGTACGACAAAGAAACCTTGAAACTACGTTTTTGGAATTTTTCTTTGTCAAAAAAGATAAAAACTTTTTTGAACGAGGAATCACAAAGTTGCCCAAAAGGTAATCGAACAAAATGATCGATATACTAGTCTAATAAAATTTTGTTTCTCACGACAAATTCTTGGCCAACTAAATATTATTTTTCCGCTGGATTCGCATTCTGTGTTTCGAATTTGCATGGTTCGACGTGGTTAATTAGTATCTTAGTGATAAAATTATTCTCACTCCACTAAGTACTCTAATGTACAAATATTTTTAAACATTACAAGTACACGGTCTTACCTAACTCTTGCTTCAAACTGTAGCGAAGAGAAACGATTAGGAACTATCAAATGTATCTCGAGTATCCGGACGTCGCATTAACATGCAGAGGACTAAACTAACAAGAGGCTCGGAATTACAAATTTATGCTAATTGACAGCTTATTAATATTGCTGATAGGATTTAATAGTAGTTGACTAGTTGATACTGCGCCATTTTCAGCGCTTGAACGTGTAAGAATGTATCTTTAATCGACACTGCTGCCTTCTCGCGTATTATGTGCAGCTGAGTTTCTATTTATTAGTTAGCCATTATTATTTAGCACGTTTGCGCTCTACTCAAAACGATGCATTGTGATTATCAACATTATCATTTAAGACTGAACAAAGAATTCGCGTTTCTCTCAGATCGAAACTCGTTTAACCAATTGGAATTATGATTCACACATTGTAAAGTGACAATTGTTCTCCAATATTTTATTATAGATCTGTATTTATGTTTCCTGTATCATCAATATTATGATTAATTTTTATGATTAATTTTAATCAATATTATGATTAATTTGTCAATGAATTTATAATAATATAATATATAGAATAATTTCTATATTACTTATTAAAAGAGCGAATGTTTATTCAATTTTAATTATTACGTGGGTTTCAATAAATAATTATTCAATAATACGTTTAATTTCTCTAATAATTTCATTTGGAATTTTAATATTTTTAATTTTATATATTACTATAATAATAATTGAAGATTTTAAATTAATAAATTTAATTTTCTATCAAATAAATTTAAATATTTTTATTTCATTATATCCTTTATATTTTATATTTATTATTAGATTATTGATTGATCTAAATCGTATTCCTTTTGATTTAATTGAATCAATCAGAATTAGTTTCAGATTTTAATTTAGAATATTATAAAAGATTATTGATTTATATTCTTTTATCTGAATATATAAATTTATTGTTTATAAAGATAATTTTATATGGTTTTATACATTGAAATATATTATTTAATTTAATTAATTTAGTATATTTATTATTATTAATTATATATATATATATATATATATGTTGAATAGAATTATTAATCTTAGTTTTATATTATTTAATTTATTTATGTATATTATATTATAATTTATGTATAATAATTTAATTTATTTATGTATACTATATTAGTAAACTTTTAATTTTAAATTAATAGGAAAGATGCAGAAAATGAGTCTAACAAGTGGAAACGCGCTAAGAGTCATCGTGTTATTTCCTTCCAACGTGTTTCTCAACGCCTGTCTGCATCTGTAACCTTCGTCAGACACAAACCACAAGATTTGCGTAGATTTTCCTCTCGAGATTTTGTCGTAGAAGTTAATGTCTTAAGTATCGTAGGGATTCAACGTGCACGTCTTTCGTCATTTCGTTGCATCCACAGTCGCGTCAGTTTTCTCTCTTTGCACCTATAGTGGCAAATTACTAAGCTAAAATTGATAATTTGACAGCTACGTCAATCGAGAGCCACATATATGCATAAGGCGAGTCGCTATGAATCACTTTAGCATTTCAAATACACAACATTTTTATCGTCTTTCTTCAAGTCGTAAATCAACAACGTCTCGAGCATAATGACGAGCGTCGTAGCACGTAAACTTGCTAATTTTTGCGATTTGCAAAAAATTTATTACCGATACGTCAAGCAATGGCGAACTTTCTGGAAAATTACCAGAATTCATACATTAACCTCTTGCGCTGGAATGACGTGCCACGCACGTCGAGAATATTGCGATATTTTTTCAATTTTAAATATATTTAAGTATAACACAGACAAAACAAATAATTTAAGTATATTTAAGTATAACCCAGGCAAAACAAATAATAAATTTAGTGATATCGTACCGACGAGTTCAAAAAAAAAGTGACGAATTATTGTGTACGTTTTGGTCGCTCGTTATGGTCCGCAATCAGTTGCCAGCGCAAGAGGTTAACTTTTTGCGCTGGAATAACGTGCCACGTACGTTGAGAATTTGTTTGTCCCAAAATTGCAATATTTTCTCAATTTTAAGTATATTTAAGTCTAACCCAGGCGAAACAAATAATAAATTTAGTGACATCGTACCGACGAGTTCAAAAAAAAAGTGACGAATTATTGTGTACGTTTTGGTCACTCGTTATGGTCCGCAATCAGTTGCCAGCGCAAGTGGTTACGAACATTCCGAGCAGTATTGCAAACTGACTTGACTAATTATTCAGAACCATGAGTAAATACATATACGCCATAGCCCGTAGGCTTGAAAATAATCAGTGGCCTTGTCATGTTTTTACGCCGACGTAATTTCACATCCTCTGCGGCTGATAATTCCGTGTCACGGCCCACTTTTTTCCTTCATTTTCATTAATATCAATCGGCCGCGCTGGCTTTGCTTTTTCATTGAATCGTTGTGTCACATCGCCTGATTCGTTAATTCCTGTTACTCATTGCTCGTTTCCTCCTCGCTCGTCCGTTTGCTAATTCCAAGCACGAAACATTCACGGCCACAATCAGCTGCAACCTTCGTCGGTAGGAGCTTTCACTTCGAGTCACGTCGACGTAGCGCGGATCATAAGGAGAAAATGTAAAATTGCTAAAAATTCGGATTCGTTCAGTCGTGGAAACACGATCGCGCAACGCGCTCGAAATAAAGTTAAATCTTTACGCATGTGAATCGTAAACAGCACAGATGGCTAATGTATCGCGCAAACAGAAGGCGAATTGCTCGCGGACAATAGAGATAAATTTTACTTTTACGCGACAGCCTGTCATTTATTCAGACATTTCTTTTCCACCGACGCCTCCCTTCGTTCTTCGCCAATCGATCAATTCTTTTCCAACTAAGCTTCCGGCTCTTACTACTGTATCGAAACTAAAAGTTCGACGAGCTCGAAACATGACGATTCACCCTCGGTGACGGTCAGATTGCGATCATAAATCATAGAAAAGTTTCCCTGACGGAATACCCTTTTTCTGTCTTTGCAACTTTCATTTTTATGTTTTTTTTTTAACCCCTTGCGCTGGCAACTGGTTCGCGGACCATAACGAGTGACCGAACCGTATACAACAATTCGTCGCTTTCCTTTTCTCTTGAACTCGTCGGTATGATATCGCTGGATAGAAATTATTAAGAAGCAATAAATTTATCATTTGTTTAGCTAAATAATGAAAAACAATAATAATACAAAATAACAAAAAAATGATAATGAAATAAATAATAAAAAAGTAATACTATCGTAAATAAGCTATATAGGTTGATCAACGATTTTGGAAGCACCCTGTAAATATATAATATTTATCATATATATATAATTATTAAATTATTAAATTATTATTATATTATTATTAAAGTATTAAATATTATCATATAATTATTAAATTACTAAATGTATAATATTTTCATTTATTCATTACTTACACCCTAACTTCTTTGTTACCTAACAATTTTTTTCTTTCGGTTGTTCTCGGTCATGCTACTTTCTGCCTTACGCTAAAACGATTTCATCCTGCGTGTAAAAAATGAGTTACATTAAATTTCGACAGAAATACTCAATTGTAGACAAATGCGAAATCCATCATATTGACGGATTTAGTAGCGCTAGTGTTAATAGCTTGGAGACATGCGAAAATCGTTCAGTCAACGTTTTCTATGCTAATTTTTCGCTAAACGAAGACCACTGTCTCTTATTTCACGTTAGGAGAAACACAGGTATAGGAGCCGAAGGACGATGAATAATATTCCACGAATCGTTCAGGTGTTGGACCTAATTCTGCCACGGCTAGCATGCAAGCCCATAAACGGGTGAAATGGGAAGTGGCGCGGGAAATAAGTCAGGCTGATTTAACGAGCATAAATGTGCGCGAGCTAGCATATCGGCAAAGGCCGCGCCCTGCGCATCCGTTTCCCAGTGGCCTACTAAAATCCACCTTCTCTTTCTCTCTCTCGTTCTCTCTGTCCGCACGCCGTGGATGAAAATAACACCATCAAAGCAGGAGGAGAAGCTAGATGGTTTAGAAACGCGGGGCAGGAAGGCAGGCTGAAGGAATGATAGCATTCCTATCAATAGGTCAGACGTACGGGAAAGAAATATACTCGATTGAAATCAGTCGAACGTCGGATGATCGGCTTCCTTATCGTTCTCGATCTTTACCTAATGGATATTGTATAATACCGAGCTGTAGTCGTTGCGCGTTTGCCATATTCGCACGTCTATTAGTTTGAATGTAAACTGAATTAATTAAATAAAATCAACCAGAAGAAACAAATCCATGTCTAATTATTATAAAATATAATCCTCCGTGTAATCTTAATTTTTTGTTATTAAAATTATTCTTATATAATATAATATAATTCCTGTATGAAGAATTGAAAAAAATAGCAACAATTAATTTTATGTCTAATTAACATAATCATAGAATTCTTAAGCTCTTGCGCTGGAATGCCGTGCACGTCGAGAATTCTTTGTCCCAAAATTGCAATATTTTCTCAGTTTTTACGTATATTTAAGTATAGCCCAGGCGAAACAAATAATAAATTTATTACTTCTCAATAATTTCTATCCAATGATATCATACCGACGAGTTCAAAAAGAAAGCGACGAATTATTAAGTACGGTTTGGTCACTCGTTATAGTCCGCAATCAGTTGCCAGCGCAAGAGGTTAAAAATAAAGTTCCAAATAAATTAACTATTATTAAATAGAAATAAAATTTATTAAATATAAATTTTATTATACATATAATTCGTAATATTCCGTAACTTCCTAATTTTAATATAACTGAAGCTAAAATTATAGATCTAAAAAAAGAAGCTTCGTGAGTTTTTTAATTCTTTAATCCAACTTGATTTGTCCCCTGGTTTCAAATTGACAGAATGATGGAAAATGAATGTCTGTTGTATAATGGGTAGATAAATAGTTAAATTTGCAAATTTTATTGATACGCAATGAAATAGACTAAATTTCAATTGCGTATAAGATTCGTACAAATAGATATTTCTCACATATAGATATTTAATTTTGTTACTATGTTCAAGATTATAAATGTGGTATTTCTGAAAAGATCAAATGTGATGTAGTAATAATTGAAAGATAATGTAACGTCTATCTTGAAAAGAAATATCATTTGTAACTCTGGCAACATTATTAAAAATATATTATATAATATAATTATGTAATAATATACAATTGTATAAAAGTATAAATATATTTAATATATATTAAAAATAATATTATTCAAAATATATTCTATATCTTATAAATATATTAAATACAGTTTTGTAACATTTGTAGCATTTCAGAATATATTTCTGATATTTTTCATAAATTTAATTTTTAATAAATTATATTTTTAATAAAGTATTTTTTGTTTTTTTTTTTAATAAAGTATATTGCTAGAGTTACAAACAATATTAAGTACATGTAAGTATAGTATTTCTGTGTTGTAAAATAATGTAACATTCTACAAGAAAAATGTGTAATGTACACAGTGATTTCTCTCTCTTTCTCTCTCTCTCTCCTTCTCCCCCCTCCTCTCTCTCTTGTTTCTCATTAAATATTTGACCACTATAAGTATTGAAACTGCTATGATTTTTTTTTAAAATCATATAATACTAAACTAATCGTATAATTCTAAAGCTTGAAGCTCTAGAAAACTCTTCAAAATGCATCGTTCATTTCATTCTAAAATGTTTTTACACGACGCAGCACGATGGCAAAATAAAGATATTTTTCTTCCCGGAAATTGCTACAAATTGTCATAGTATGTAAAAAAACATATGATCCCTCAAAATTTGCTGCACGATTTTTTTTTTCATTAACTTATTAAACTTTGAGCATCAGGCGAAAATGAATATAATAACGAAAATGTTACAATTTCTTGAATTTTTGTTTTAAGCCTAATATTTAAAATTCAATAAAAAAAATCATATGTGAAGTTTTTCATTATAGATTCAGTTATCAAAAAAGTTTCTCAATACTTTAACAATTTGTAGCAGAGAAAAAAATTAATATATAGATATTTCAAAATAAAACGAACGTGCTTCGTGGTTTAAAATAAGTCCAGATTTATTGACGTATGATTTCTCTTTTTTACAAAATTATAATAGTTTAAACATTCAGTACTACCTGAATATTAGTAGAAGCCATTGTACTTGATCATTCTATAGAATTATCTAATCGAGCAAAAAGTCCTCTCTTTAAACCAAACATTGCCTTCAGGCCTGCACCGGATTACCTTTGATTTTAAGCAGCCAAAACCGTGAAATCATTGATCAATGATTTTCACTAGGGCAACAATTCGTGCTGGAGTGAAAGTAACGTGCATGGAATTGTGCTTCCGCCGTTTTTCGAACCGCTGAGCTTCTCCAACGTCTCTCGAGTGTCGAACACAGCCTATGAAGAGCTGAAAGACCTCTACAAGTTCCTGTCAACTTTACTCGTGCGTAATTTCATTAGTTTGAAAGAGACGGAAGAGTGTGGAGCAACAGCCACGTGTACAGAGAGTAACACGATCGCAAATATTAATCACCAACATTATACAGTTCAGAGAAATGAAAGTTAGAAGCACATTAATATCACGTCACGCAATATTACGTGAATTTACGCGACGAAAAGTATGAACAGACACGTTTTCATCGATATAAATTCGATAACCACGTCAGACCGCTGCTCACACCATTTCGTCACGTGTAAAAACCATAATTTCGTGTTAATTCACAATTTTAACACCGGAGAATTATTCATAGAAAATGTAAGAAAACATTCAATTTTATTCTTTCACGGCTGCTAATCGTTCTACGAAACAGTGTATTTTCTTTTTTTTTATATATTTTATATATTTTGTATATTTTATATATTTTATGTATTTTATATATTTTGTATATTTTATATATTTGATGTATTTTATATATTTTGTATATTTTATATATTTTATATATTTTATGTATTTTATGTATTTTATATATTTTATATATTTTATGTATTTTATATATTTTATATATTTTATGTATTTTATATATTTTTTATATTTTTATATATTTTGTATATTTTATATATTTTATATTATTTTCATATTCGTACCGTGCAAAAATTTATGTATATTCGTGTAATATTTATGTACTTTCTTTGCATTCATTTGATCTGAATCAAAAATTTTCTACGTCCGAGGCTTCTATTATTATAACAGAAAATTATGACATAATTGCTGAACGGTTTCCAATGTATAACGTGATGCGAATAAATCCTAACTATGATGTCACACAAAACGTGATACCACATGATTTCATGTTACGTGATAGTAACGTATTTCTATGTTAAGCTATTTCTGCATCGCATTAATAAAAATTATCTAGAATGAAGAAGAGTTTTCTGAAAATGAATATTATCGAATATTAGTTTCGCGCCGTTTCTTTTGTAATTCTAAAACTAGTCGTTGTAACATTTCAAAATGATCAGTGTATTAAAATTACATCCTATTGTTATACAGGGTGTCCATAAAGTCTCTTTACAATTTCAAAAATTTATTACAAAGGCAAATGAAAAGGCAGGTAAGTGGAAATTATTACAAAATGACACGCATTTATTTAAGTTTCTTCTGCCTTATTTAATACACCCCTATATGGGCACCATTAGTTGCACGAAGCACATCAAGACGTTACTCGATTTCTTACAGGATCGATGTTTTCCTCAGATGTTCTTGGTCGTCCACTCCTCCCTTTGTCGAACACTGTCTCCATAAATTTCTTGTGCCATGCACGAATTAATGGACGTGACGGTGGATCTCTTCCATACTTAGTTCTGAAGCTAAGACCGAATTTGGTTTCAATAAACCATGATACGCACTGTGCCTTCTCTTGAGGAGTAGCCATTTTGTAAGGGATTCATTTAACAGTATGTAGTTTATTCAACAACAAGGTACCTGAAATGCAATGTGATAAAAATCTTGACAATCACCGAGTACATAGAACAAATCTGATGAAAATATCTCATCAACTGCCTTTGTAATAAATTTTTGAAATTGTAGACTTCATAGACCGACATGGGGTTATGTTGAAGATATCGTGTTTCGAACAAAGGTACGGGACATCACTAATCTAAAACAGAGGATCACTGATGCCATTGCCACCATTGATGAGAGCATGCTACAGCGAACATGGCAAAAAATCGAGTAGTGTCTTGACGTGCTTCGTGCAACTAATGGTACCCATACAGAGGTATATTAATGAGACAGAAAAGAACTTAAATATGTACGTCTCATTTTGTAATAATTTCCACTCATCTGTCCTTTCATTTGCCTTCGTAATAAATTTTTGAAATTGTAAAGTGACTTTCTGGATACCCTGTAGTTTTCGACTCTGCAGTAGAGGAGGCATAAAACGTTTCTCCGACATTCCTGATGGGTGCTAATTCAGGTCGTGGTGTCACACATCGCGGAAACTGATGCGAAGGCTTCGCGGTAATGCTGTTAGCACGACGCGAAATTAGCCGGACGATCTGACGCGTTGTGTGACAAAAAGTTTTCGTGACACTCGATCGTCGATCGTCGTTGATAATCGTCGATCATAAAAGGTACGTTTAAACGTACGAAACCAGGAAAGAAGGGAAAAAAGAAACTAGGACGGTTGACGCCCTCGGGTAAGAATCATTTTCACTTACAGTTCAACTCATTTCGCACTCAATTAACGATCACGAGTATTAACTCTCTGTATGGAAGGCTGCATTCTAAATTTTCCTGCAATTCGCCGTGAACGGTTCTTTTTCAATTTAGTTTCTCTCAGTTACAGAAGCTAAACTGCTTGTACTTAGAAAATGATTTTTTTAAATGTTGCTGTCAATCGCGGAAATATACAAAACAACGTTGTCTAATGTTACTGTTATCCTTGAACGAGGTTACTGAAACGGTTCCTTTGTCACGTAGCAGAAATGCTGGTCGAGAATTACCAAGCGACCAACCGGTGAATAATACAGTAAACGAGCACGTTTGCAAACGTTGTTAACTCCGCGATTGCATCATTACCACTTCGGAGCCCAAAGGGAAAGGTTTCAACGCTTCCAAAGATTTTCACGCTCCATCAGGGCACGCAGGCCGTTTAATTAAATTGAACGACGTTTCATGGGAGGCTACGTAACATGCGAGAAATGTTCAGTGAACTCCAATTTCGAGACAGCTCGACGCCTTTGAGCAAACGAATTAAAAAGTCTCTATCGATCGCTAACTTCGTTCCTTTCAAATCGAACAATTTAGATAGAGATTCGTATCCTAACGCGACGAAGTGAAACAAAATTTTTATCGAAATATGATACATATCGTTTACCTTGTTTGTTGAAATTTGCCTTGTTTTTAATAATTAATTCTTCAATTAATTTTTAATTTTTAGATTGAAACTTATTTTATTGTTCTCATGCTTCAGCTCGTTGACTAACACTTCATGCTGTTACTTACATCTATTTTATATTTTACAATATATTTATATTTTATATTTTATTATATTACTTACATCTATTTTATATTTTATAATATATTTATATTTTATATTTTATTATATTACTTACATCTATTTTATATTTTATAATATATTTATATTTTATATTTTATTATATTACTTACATCTATTTTATATTTTATAATATATTTATATTTTATATTTTATTATATTACTATAGTTACATCTATTTTATATTTTATATTTTATTATATTACTATACTTACATCTATTTTATATTTTATATTTTATTATATTACTATACTTACAGCTATTTTATATTTTATATTTTATTATATTACTATACTTACAGCTATTTTATATTTTATATTTTATTATATTACTATACTTACAGCTATTTTATATTTTATATTTTATTATATTACTATACTTACAGCTATTTTATATTTTATATTTTATTATATTACTATACTTACAGCTATTTTATATTTTATATTTTATTATATTACTATACTTACATCTATTTTATATTTTATAATATATTTATATTTTATATTTTATTATATTACTTACATCTATTTCATATTTTATAATATATTTTTATTTTATATTTTATTATATTACTTACATGTATTTCATATTTTATAATATATTTATATTACGTTCATTCTAACACTATACACTTTCTGTTGATTTTGTTTCCTTCGTCCGTATTCATTTACACTTTCTCGCTCATCTCGTGTCAAGTCACGTCTTTCACTGCTCCAATTACACACGGACAGATAATGAGACATAATTGCTGCTATCAGAAATTAATTTCTGTCGAACGTTGTATTGCCAGTTGACAGAAGGTTCAACGAACCCGGAATCAACGTATCTGTAAATTAATCAAGATAACTTCATTAAAGGATAGATGATTGAAATACCTTGGTACGTAAGGGACTCTACATGGAACCTAAAACACATTTCCTCGGGAGCAGTGGGTCACCTATTCTAGTCAGCATGATGTCAGCCAGATGAAATCGTAGATCGACGGTTACCATAACGACCAACTGTTCTCCCTTTATTTTCCTACTTCAACGTCGTAGTAGTTCAACTAGATCTCCCCGACCCTTCACGCAGTCTGCGATTACAGGCATTCAGAACCCCTGGCGTTCTATTTTTTTATTTTTTTTTTTTTCCGGAGTTTCCTATTCCTGCCACCTGCTTCTAGCAATTCAGCAATAGATTTCATTTCAATCGACCGACGAGGGAAATGTACCAACGTCTCGTGAACCGGTAATAGTATTTCAATTCATATTTCGACTCCATCTCCGAAAACTCATTTTCAACCCTCGATTAAAGGGACAAGATGAAAGGTACAGCGGTTTGTCTGTGAAATAATGAATCATCGACAGTTGTAATAACTGCAGAGAGAGTGTAGTGTTAGAATGAACGTAATATAAATATATTATAAAATTATAAAATAAATGTAAGTAATATAATAAAATATAAAATATAAATATATTGTAAAATATAAAATAGATATAAATATAAGATATAAAATAGATATAAAATAGATATAAATATAATAGATATAATAATATAATAAAATATAAAATATAAGTATTTTCTTTCCTCTTTTTTGTTCTTAATTTTCTTTAATTTTCTCGATTCAACTTGACGTACTAAAATTATTGTACGTCCACGGTTTCTTTTTATTTTCATTATTTAGAGTCGCATCAACTTCTTGCGGGGATTATTGGCGGCTTGAAATGAAATCTTACAATTTATTGTATAAGTTAGATTGTTTTAGGTGGTTAGAGTGTATTAGTTTTAAGATTGATTCTTTATCCTTTAGGTTGTCATTTAGGGAAAGACTCATGTTTAGTGAATATCTGTTCATGGATTCTATTTGTTGACCAATATGTTCCACTGTCAGTTGAACTTTGCACAAATCTTGGGAAGGATATTCTTTTTTGAAGAGATATTTTTTGATCGGTGAGTGTTGTATGGCCCGTTACAATTCTTGAAATTACTTAACTTGAAAATTACTTAATTCTTGAAATTACTTAACTTGAAAATTACTTAATTCTTGAAATTACTTAACTTGAAAATTACTTAATTCTTGAAATTACTTAACTTGAAAATTACTTAATTCTTGAAATTACTTAACTTGAAAATTACTTAATTCTTGAAATTACTTAACTTGAAAATTACTTAATTCTTGAAATTACTTATCTTGAAAAACTTAGTCATGTGTTAATGGAAGGATCCATGTTGTTCCACTCCGTAAATTGATAATCATTTGTGAATTCACGATATTTCTCTCAGAAATTTTCTCTGCGAGTGGCCGATATGAAACTCCAAATAAATATCGAGAATCCTAGATATCGAAACAGAAAGAAACACGAACGAAAGAAAAATCATCTCGTAGCCTTGGTTTGCGTGAGTGCACTTTAAAGGAGGTCGCTCTATCGTGATATAGTATATTTTCACTGCAATAGTCGTCTGTTGCTGTATAAGGAAAAGGCTTGATGCTTTTACGCAATAAGTAGAAACACGAAGGTGTTGTCTCTTGGCAAGATCGGTACGTGTGCGGCTGTTTGTAAAAAAAATTATCTGTTTAGGAACGACGGCGTTGTCGCGCAAGAAAAAGGTGTTCCGGAGACGAAGACAGCCAAGACCTTGAAGATAAAAGTTGGTCATGTTGTTTAAAAGAAACCATCTGTCTCGGACATAATGGCCTGCGTCATAGATCAACAATGCTTCGCTTGCGTAACTTCCTTCATTTCAATCAAATATCCCCCTCTTCCTTAATTGATCTTTATTGTTAACTTATTTGAAAATTGTATCGGCGAATTTCGTTGAGCATCGAGAAATTTATTAACTGCGCGGATGATCCAAACTTTCATTTTTATTATCATACACATCGCTTTAACCTCTTGCGCTGGAATGACGTGCCACACACATCGAGAACTTTTTGTCCCAAAATTGCAATATTTTCTCAGTTTTTGCGTATATTTAAGTATAACCCAGGTGAAACAAGTAATAAATTTATTACTTCTCAATAATTTCTATCCAGTGATATCATACCGACGAGTTTAAAAAGAAAGCGACGAATTATTGTATACGGTTTGGTCACTCGTTATGGTCCGCAATCGATTGCCAGCAAGTGGTTAACCTCGTGTGTTGGAATGACGTGCCACACACGTCGAGAATTTTTTATCCCAAAATTGCAATATTTTCTCAGTTTTAAATATATTTAAGTAAAACAAAATAGGCAAAATAAATAATAAATTTATTATTTCTCAATAATTTTTATTCAGTGATATCATACCGACGAGTTTAAAAAGAAAGTGACGAATTATTGTATAGTTTGGTCACTTGTTATGGTCCGCAATCAGTTGCCAGCGCAAGTGGTTAAAGATGTGGCTGATAAGACATCTTGTTCAGCGAAATTGATAAATAATCGAAAGTGTGTCGCGACTTTGTTTCAATGTAAAAGGAGCGAACACAATTGTCTACTTCTTGTTGAATCGTACTGATCCATGAATACTTTCCCATGGAGAAAATCTATTATTTTCCTGAGTACGCCCTCTTAAACAACGCGAATAAACACGGATGACGTAATGGATTTTCATTTTACGTAACAATCACTACAAAATTGCCGGCAATGAATCATCCTTCAGTCAAAGTCAGGAAATCAATCTGATCTAGTTTCACTTGTCAATCGTGTTTGCACAGTATGAAAATTTTCATTTTTCAAATCGAAGCACTTATTATTCGATTTACAGATTGTAAAAATTATAAAATTCACAAATCATATCAATTATATAAATTTATTTTTCCTCTTTTTCATTGTCACAAATTTCTTTCTATAATTTCTTATTGTTGAAATTCCTCTTTTCTTTTAAGTATCTTTGTACTCTTTTTGTTGTTACAATTCCATTTTTAGTATTCTTGTTATTTCTTTATTACTGCAATTTCTGTTTTTACATCTTATACATTTTTATTGCTAAAACTTCTTTCTTGATCGCTGATTTTTCCTTTTTTCTTTTTTGTGGAGTTCTTTGTTGAATTTTTTTTTAGAAAATTCTTCCAATTTAGTTATATTCCTTGCCTACTAATAATTTTTCTCGTCCAAGTTTTTGTCCAAGGCTCTTTTCCTATTAGTCCAATATACAAGTTTTCAATTTCAATTCGATTATGGTAAAGAATAACTTGAAAAAATATTGCCTATAAACAGGATATCAAATAATCATTATTTGCAGATTGCTACTGCTGACCAAAGCAAAAGATAACATTCAACTTCTCTGAAATGCAAAATTCTCAAAAATTTCGAAATCACTTCTCCTTAAGAGGGTATTCTGGTTTAGTAGTTTTAGAATCACTTCTATCTCTATAAGAATGTATTCTGGTTTAGAAGTTAGAAAAAATTAATTTCTTCTTTCTTCACGGTATACGTGTTTGAAAAGATGTATGCAGAAGAATTTGTTTGATTTCGCAAAATTAACTTAATTGTAAATGTTTGAAGTAGCAGTTATATTTTTCTCTCTTGCGTAACATTCATTATTTAAGTGTCCTGGTTTCTGGTTTTAACCCATTAAAAAGAGAGATTAATGTAAACAAGTATATTGAGAATGTGGAAATTTCTTCTTTAGATTTCTTCTTTAAATGTATTTTCCTCGAAATCCTAATTGACAAATTGACAAAATTTTAATATAATACAGACTATAACATAATAAAGGCTGAAAAATGTTGAAAAAACAATATTTCGGATTAAAAGTATCGTCGTCGTTATTTTAATAATCAAGATTTTCATTTCATTTTGGTTCACGCCATAGCCACATAATCATAATCAAGATCTTTTCATTCTTTTGCTTCAAACTAGAAGAATGAACACTCATTTTTAAAGAGCCTTTATTAAACCAAACGTAACTCATGTAATTCTGATTATTCTTATTTTAACAAAAATAATTTAGTTATCAATAAACGTACGTGCAGGAAAACTTCAGGAAAAACAGACGAAGGCTTTTTTTGCAAAAATACCCTGAATATGATTTACTTAATATGGCACTTTGTAAACCAGAATTTAATCTTGGTTGAATGCTAAGTGTTCAAGCGACTTTAATGACCTCTAGTACAAGGCAATTCAAAATATACAATAAGGATTTGAAACCTTAATTAGAACCGTATAAAGTATAGCTCAGCCTTGATTTAATCGCTATTCAAAAACGTAGAATGTTGCCAACCGAGTCTGAATGTCACAGCATCAATCGGTGCCGCTACTTGATGCTTTAATTTAAGACCACGCTATACAGTAGAAACTTCTATGACCAACATTCGTGTTCTATGCTCGTTATATCAATCCAGGCGTGAAATTCGATAATTAAGTCAATGCATCGTTCATCAGGTGAGAACACGCGATATCTTCTTATCTACTCGTTGTCGTTGCATCATTAGTCGCGAATCCAATAATAAATGGCAATGAATAGAGAACGTGTTGCTGGATACAGTAGATTTATCGATTGTAAATAATCGTCGATGTTGTAAACTAATTACTTCGACATGCCAAAATAAGCTGGAAAAATTGATTTCTCTGAATGTTTGTCAAAAAATCGTGTTGCACTCGGAAAAAGCATTATTACTCAAATCCTATTTTATCATAATCGAATTTATCCTCTTGTACGTATAAATTTTTAAGAAATATTCACATTGCAGGCATCAGCTGCATTCTTTCCATTACATATTTAAATGAATATAAATTGGTAATTTAATTCGTAATTTTAAAAATTACAAACAGTCACTGAAGATTCTGTCGACAACAGACTTGATGCAGTGGAAGTATTATTTTATACATTGGGATGGACAACAATTATACGTCGTTATTAGGTATTTCAGTATCATAACATCTGCATGCATTAGTACATTACATGATCGAGATCTAAACGTGCAAGATCTAAAAATGAGAGTAAGTTGTTGGCAAAATAACTCATGATATCTGAAATAAATAAATAATATAATTGCATTTTCATAGACAATTTTTTTAGGAAAATAGAATAGGAATAAGGTAAAAAAAATAGCAATATGATAAATTATTATTTGTTTCATATGACTATATTTTCTACGCATTCAAAAATGAAGAAAAAGTATTAAATGAAACAAGAAATTTTTTTAATAATTTCTAAAATATCAAGTGTTTCCAAAGTATTATCCTTGATTAGAATTATGGCTTCCATACAAAATATTTTGCATTTTTGTTCTATGTCGGAAAATGTTTGTAAAATAGAAAAATATTAATTTTTGGATATTTTCTTTTTTTAAAGAGATTTTAAAAAGCTTCAAAACTTTTCATTATTATATTCAATTTCATCAGAAAATTTCATTATTATATCAAATCCAATTATAAATAATAAGATTATCAGAATACAATTAAAATAATATATAATTTATTAAAATTTAATTACTGTTCCATTAGGTTCCATTATAATATTATCAATATCAAGATTATTAAATATCAAGTTCCATTACAAATAATAAGATTATCAGAATATAGTTTAAATAATTTATCTAATTCATTTCTCAGCTACATAAATATTTATCTTAGTTGTATGAAAAAACTACTTCTCAAAACAATGTTACACTATTGTAAACGATGCATGTTCATAACAAAAAAATTTGATTGATCATTCATATTTTTTTAAACAAAATCTAATACTTTTTCATATATTACCAATCAATGCGATTTTTTTAAATTTTTTATTTTCTTTAATGATTTCTTGTAAAATTACTGTTTTCGAATATTCAATTATATTTATATTTGAAAGTACTAAATGTTATATTAATTATGTATTATTCCATGAGATAAAATTATGCTGTATGTTATTAATGTATAAATATGGAAAAATTTTATAATCTGACAAAAGAATGTTTCGAGAAAAAGATAATCTAATGTTAATGGACTATAAAACTGCAATATAAAAAATTTCTTTAAAAAATTTTTTCGATAGAAAATTAAGGTCGAGCTATTTTAAATAGTATGTATTTTCGTTTAAATAGTATCACGTATTTCGTTACTATATGTTGTAGACGATATTAAGACAAATTCCTCCCATAGAAATCATAACCTTGAGATGATCTTAAAGTTAGAAATTTACGAAATTTAACGAAAGAAGAATTATTGTTAAATTTTATTTTTACCAAACGGAACTTAGTTTTTACATACCTAAAGCTATGTTCATGTATTCTGTTATGATAAGTGTTTAAACCCTGTTCATTTTCTTGTAAACGTAGTCAAGCCGCGGAAGTAAATTAGTGTTTGTTGCTGCTATAATGCTGTCACGACGAACTTCGCGCCATGTAACACGAATTCGCATTATCCGAGTTCGCATTTTAAGTTCAAGGTCATCTCAAGATCACAATGCAAACAATCAAATTTTTTTTGATATCAGCAGACATGCTAAAGGCAAAAATACATAAAATCAAGGTGACCTTAATATTTTTTATTGAAAAAAAAAATTTGGAAAGAATTTTTGATATTGTAGTTTGTAGCCCACCAAAAACAGATTAACTTTTGTCCGAAACATTTTCTGTCAGACCATGAAAAATCGTAGCATACATACTGTACATTATGTACATATTATCTTTAAAGATAATATGTAGAAAATTTATTTTTGCGTTGTTGGTTATTCTGTACTTAACCTGGTACAGCCCACAGTATGATATAGTCTTTCAAATGAGAGTTTAGATTAGACAAATTGTTATTGCGTTTCAGAATTTACTCGAGATTACTACACATCTCTTACATATTCATATTGTAGATTATTCCACAACAAAATATTAAAATGTTCCGAACTAGCTTGAGAACTGTACGTATCGCTTTAGGAAGCAAGGCTTTTGCGAATGCACCGGCTCGAGAACAAGCGGTCTCAACAGCCTTCAAAGTTCAAGATCCGAAAGATTTCAATGATCGCGTTAAGAACTCCAAAGTGCCTGTTATTGTCGATTTTTTCGCAACGTAAGTAAAAGTCATACTGTTAAATAATTTTCAGAATGTGTCAAATGCAATTTGATTCGTAGGTGGTGTAATCCATGTCGGATGCTCACTCCTCGCATAGAATCGGTAATTGCGGAAAAACAAGGGAAAGTTTTGCTGGCGAAGGTTGATATCGATGAAAATAGTGATCTTGCTTTGGATTACGAGGTTACATAATTTTTGATCTTTCTAAATTGTTCATTTATTTTGAAGTAATGAAAATAATAGAAATTAATGTTATGTATAGGTTGGTTCCGTTCCAGTTCTGATTGCAATGAAGGATGGAAAAGTATTAGACAGAATTGTTGGTCTTCAAGATGTAGATAAACTTAAACAATTTGTAGACAAGTATTCAGAATAATGTAATTTACTTTAAGTGTAATTTTGTTATGGAGTATTTGTAGTTATTGAGATATTTGTATATCGTATGCTTATAAGTGTATAGTACAATATATAATTTTTTATTTCTATATATCATTAACTTTATAAACTTCATATATATGATATATATGATATATATATGAAATTCTAAAATAAATTATTTTTAACATAATAAACAAATAAATTTAATTATTTACCAAAATTTAATACAACTATTTTATGAATGAAAGAACAATGATTAGCAACATATAAAAGAATGTTTCATTTTGTCAAATGTTGATAAATTTTAAGTATAATTGCAAATTAATTAAGTTTCCGTAGGTAAAGCTTGTAGAAGTTCCCTTGCCCTTTGATAAGCAATAGATTCTACTTCGTCTTTGTTTTCTTCATTCTCTTCTACCTTCCTTATAATATCCATGCCTTTTTTTAAAAGTTGTTCTCTAGCCATTCCTTTACACCCTTCAAAATACTCCAAAACTGTTGGAAAAATGTCATCTGGTATAGAAGTTTCATCCAGTAAATTGTCAATTAACCAAATTTGCCTTAATTTTTCAAATTTCCATTCAGATCGTGCATGTTTCCACTGTAAATGATGTTATCATAGAAAGAATTAGAAACTGTTCCTTGTTCTCGAATATCTACATTTTAAGTAATAAAGTAATATTATAAAAGAAATCTTTAAAACCTTTGAAACATAATTAAGTCCTTTCTTCATTGTTTCCATTCTATTGCTCATTCTTTTTTCATTCTCTTTTTTCTCAGCTTTTTCTCTCTTCAATTGTCTCTTAGAAGGCTGTTTTGTCCGAACCTTTTTTTCGTCATTTTTGTGAATCTTTTCTGTATCATTTAAGTTAGTTCTTGTGCATATACTATTAACAAAAAGTTTATATTTATATACATATAACTTACATAAGCTACAAAACAATCAGAATGTAAATATGCATATAAAGTCATATTTACTTTGTCTTTTTCTCATCTTTTTTATCCTGGTTTTCTTTTATTTCAGCAAAGACATTTTCCTCATCATTGTCATTAATTGTACGTTTATTAGTATTATTATTGTTGTTATTATTATTTGAAATCTTTCTTTTTCTTTTTTGTCTTGTATATTTTAACTCCTGCTTATTTACTTTTTCCATTTGATTAGTATCAGATTCTGAGGTAATAGTTTTATCTATTTTACTTGTAATTTCTGCAAATGATAAATTAAAGATAAACTTGTATTATACAAATTTAAATGGACTGTATATATAATGTAAAAATATAAATAAGATTTATTAAATATTTACCTTTAGATTCATACCCTTTCTTCGTTCGTTTATGCGATTTTGAACTCCTAACCCCAAATTTTGACGTACTATCAAATTCCATTCTATTGCTCACTTAGATACTCTATATAAATATAATTTTAAACTTATAAAATTGCAACATTTAGAGTATTAATAATATTCTTCCAATTAATAGCAAATAAGAATTCTAAACTTAATTACCGTTGTACACATGTGTGAGCACATCTACTCACACAACTTATTACAATAACAACACAATGAATAATATAAGAACATCAAAATAATATTTATAAAAAATCTTTTAATTAATGTTTGTCTTTTACAAAATAAAAAGGATATAGGAGAACAGTAATAATACCAAATAGAATATATACACAACATTTGGTGTTTTTTTAACATATTAAAACTTAAAAATTTCATACATAAATTGTGCAATTTTTATTTTTAATAATAATGCGTTCGAGATTGATTGAAAGTGCTTTACAACTTAGAAATAATAAATCATTGTTAGAAAAGAGGTATGTTTAAATATATAATACTTCTTTTTTTTTGTACTACAACATTAAATTGTGTATACTAGAGAAGGCTAGGTAGATAATTTAAATATTTTAAAATTATAATAAAAACTTAATTGTTTTAGGCTTTCTTTTCCTCAAATATGTTCCGTTTTAAAATATAGTGCCAGTTCAGAGAAAAATAAAACAAAAAATGATGACGATGTTGATGATTATGATAAACCTTATAAATTTTCAACATCTAAAGCAGCAAAACTTTCTGCTAGATATACAAGTGCAGAAGCGAGAAATAAACCATTTTTTCAACCAACAATTATAGCTTTAAGCTTAGCTGTCTTTTTTATATACTTTGGTATCTTGAGGGAAGAAAATGATATCGATGAGGCTATGATAAAAAATATGGATCCGGCAGTCGTAGAACATATATATGGAAAACAGAAAAATGTAAAATAAAATTGAATTATATAATAGAATATAATGTAGTTGAAAATGTTTATTTAATAATTAAATATAACATGTATAAATAAATTCTTTATTAAATAAAACCATAAGTAAATATCTATAATGGATAAAGTAATTCACCCCATATTATATTATTTATTATTTTATTCCATTCTATTGGTGGATGACGATTAATTGTATCTGGTATACACTTGTCCCATGTATAATGCCATGATGCTATAACCATTGTCATTATTAATACTATTGGCCCTTCTGTTTTATACGAATGTACTTCAATATTAACGACACCTAGAATATATAAATTATATAATTTGTAAGTGATCCAATTATAAATCAATTGTAAATCAATAACATTTGCTTACTGCATGTGCTATAAGAATGGAATAACCACTTAAAAAATGCATATACAGGCATAACTTGAAAATAAAACTTCATTCTTGTCAACAAACCTCCAAAGCTAATTAATACCAATCTGAGCTGTAAAATGAACCTATTAATTATTAAATAACAATCATAGTCATAATCTATTATATATATATAATATAATTATTTATAATGTACCATAGTAAAAACTACATAATAAACCCAAGTTGTTGGCATAAGGAATAGCAGAATAGTAAACAATAAAGTTCCAACAAACAGCTGATCAGGTTGATATTGGCAAGAATCGATTCTTTCTCTCAATGGATTTTTCTTCTTACCCAAAAATAATCGAAACAAAGCAGTAATACCTCTCAACTGAATGTTGAAAAGCCTGTTGAAAAGATTAAGTTATTATCTGATCGCATTTTTGTAGTTTCTGTAACTTATGTATTTAATACCTTGCAGCATATACATAAATACAATAAGCATGAAAACTGACAAGTGCTAAAAGATCAGCTGCTATTGCTATTTGAAATGTAATGCCAAGCTTTCCAAATAATAGCAATACTTCAAATGTAAAATCCATCACAGGTTTCATAAATATTAAGAATGTCCACCACATATGTATATGGTATAAAAAAAATTTTCCAAGCATATTATTTAAGGCATGATTTAATTTTAAGCCAGCTGGTACACCCATTAGCCAATTGATTAAATCTTTCAGAAACGTTACTACCTTCTATAAAATAACATATGGTTACATTAAGTTTACTATTAATTTCACGTAATTTTTAATGTACATTACCTCCGCATTATCCAAAAGTATTTGAGATGGAGATATATATTCAAAGTTGTGCAACAACAATTGCAATACAGAAATTCCCAGTAACATGTCTATTATTAATGCAAAAACATAGTTGCCAGTTTTCAAAGTAAATCTTTTGTTCTTTATTACGGTGATTAACATCCATTTAACATTCTTCAACCATCCATTAACATGTAAGCCAAGAAAAGAATATTTTAAAACTGGTAGTAATTTGTTGGTAATTTTGGCAAGAAAAAGAACTGGATAAAAGTATACAAACATATGATACACAAGCAGTGTTTCCTTTATATAAGTACATTTTCCTTTTTTCTGTATTTCTCTTTCAACTTGCTTGTTTTGTATGATTTTCATTAACTCATAAAAGTGGTCTCCAGATATTGCTTTTTGAGCAAATAATTCTGTTTCTCTGAATACAGACTGATCATACACTGTAATGACTGTATGATAGTGTAAGGTGGAAATTTTTTTATTATTCACAATAATATTTTTCAAACTGTAGTCATAGATATTGTCTTTAGAGGAAAATGTAGGATGCAAGCACACATTAATCCAATCTAAATATTTCTTATCCACATATCCTCGTTTGTATTCTGTACCAAAGTAATATCCAATTATACTAACGCATTTAATTGTTTCTATATTGTCTACTTTACGTACACCGATGACATAAAACTTTTTTACTCCTGTATTATCATCATATATTACTTTACCAAACATGTATCCAGGCTTTTCTTTATAAAGTCTGTTTGGTAAGAAAATTAATACACTTTTCATTGCAGACTTTTCATTAGTATAGGGTACACTCATGTCTTTAATGAAAATATTGTTCTTATGCATTAATCATGTATGAATCTTTTAATACTTTATTCCACTTTTTCAAATGTTTTATTTATATCATCAGTTAATCTTCCATTATAATAATACAATCTCTTTCATTTTATTTTAAATTATAATCATTTTCAAATCGTGCATTGACGATATGTTGACAAGCGGTCAGCTGTTTCCGGTTTGCAAAAATACAGGTGGCTCGACAGGAATCTGTGAAAATCCCGGCTAATTAGTTTTAATTAAATAAGCAGTATTTGGATCGGCAGCACCGGAGTAAACAACTAACGTGTGATGAAGCTTTAGCGCGTGGTATCTTCTTCCTTTTAATTTCCTTTTGGTTTGGACGGATAATGTTGAAAGAAGAGGTTGAAGCGAGCAGGCCTAGAAATGGTGATAACTCGCACACGACTACACCGGACTCAGGAAGTAACGACGTGGCCAAAGAGTCGCATCAGAAGATCGCGATAAAAGAGAGACTAGCCAACAAGATGTTTTCATATGCCAGGAAAATCATTCGTTTTTTCCTTGCAATTATTTTTACCACCTTAGCTGCTCTTCATAGTTCGTAAGTTTTAGGTTATAACGATTTTCTAGTTAAAAATTTATTAACATTCATGTCATGTTGCTGTCGCACTGAAACGTGGCTTTACATTGTGATAATGTGCGGTAATTTGAAAGTACCGTATTGATAATAAAAGCATACTTCTGTCTGATAGTATTATGTATTTTTATTATTTTGTATGTTGTATTGTATAGTTATTATTTTTATTACAGTTCTCCCAAAGTATCAAAACCTCCATTAGCTAAACCATTCTTCAACCAAAGTTCAATCGTCTTGGATTTTTATAAAGGACATTTAGGAGCTATGATAGAAAGAGTTACGGAAGCAGACTTCAGTTTTGTTATGTATTATGCCCCGTGGGACGCAGAAAGCCAAGCCGTACGCCAAGAATTTGAAACAGTTGCTCAATATTATCATTCACAGGTACCAAATATATATTCACAAGTGCTTCTTTTAATCACATAACAAGACCAAGATATTTTTATGATTTTTAGATTTTTTTTGCTGCTATTAATTGCTGGCATCCAAATTCAGAATGTAAAGCTCAATATAACAAAATACAAAGCTATCCAGTGCTAATGCTTTATCCTTCGAGAGATTCTGGTATAGAATACAGAGGTATACGTACATGGCCATATATGATAAAATTTCTTAATACAGTTATGAATCCAATTGTTAGGATCACACATAAAGAACAATTAACAGATTTACGTGTGAATTATGATGTAAGTATAAATAAATGATTCATACAATCTACAATTAGACATATATTTTTATAAAGAGATGAATTGTTCGTTATTATCATTGCAGATTGTAGTAGTAGGTTATTTTAATTTCACTCGGTTAGATAAAACTCCTGGTTACAAAGAATTTTATAAGGCTGCTTTACGAACATTAGAAGAGGACCCTAATAGAGAATTGGCTTTTGCTATTGTTACTAGTGCACTATCTAGTGAAACGGACTATAATATTTATAAATTTCCATCTGCAAATTTATTTATGTGGAGCAAGTCTCTAGTAAGTACATAAAACAAAAGTCTTATACTTGAGTAATGGTAAATACATTGGATACATAAAGCAGAAACATTTGCATATATAGCACAATTAAATGAGTTTGAGAATTCAAATGTGTAGAGGTATCCAGAAGACTCTGAATGGACTTCCGAAAACATATTAAATTGGATTAGCAGCTTTATTCACCAACCAGTTCTGTGGCTGCAACCTCCTGGAGTAAAAGCACTAACATTAGCACCATATTTGAGAGAAGGGCCTGTGCTTTTTCTCTTCACTCCTCGTAATCCTTTGCATTCTGAAAATTATAATTTTAACCTGGTATGTAATATTATAGACTCAAACGCGAAACAATATATAATAACAATTACATTGATTTTTTAGATCAGAGAAATTGGACTACAATATTATAATTGTGCAGATAACATCTTAACTAAGGAGATAATTAATCGTCTCAGTTTCAAGCGTCGTACTGCTATTGCGAGGCATTCGGAGCAAAACAAATTTTGTGCGAAACTTTTGAAGGAAATTAGTAATCAAAGAAATGATTTCATTACCAGCACTTCAATCCAAAAATGGATTAACGATAGTTGCTGTGTTAATGTTGTAATGAACAAATGTTCTTTGTGTAAAAAGAATATATTCAGCAACGCAAACAAAAAAATGTCTATTTGTAAACTGAATAGTAATAAATTTAATCACGTTTGCGAAGGCGTTGATATTTTCAAAGTTTCAGCTACACATGATTCACAACAGAAATATGAAATTTGTTGTAATGAAGATCCTACTATAGTAAAATACGAAGACAACTTTAAATTTAAGAGGTATAAATGAAATTGATTGTAATTATTTCATCAGCTAATATATTTATTTTTTCAGTCAAAAATACAAAATATCGGCATTTATTACAAACGAAGAGGATGTACGATCTGCAAACGCAATAAAACAAGCACATTTAAGATCTGAGTGTAAAAGATGGATAATTGGAAACAGATATCATCAACCTATATTTCCGCGAGATAATCTCGAATATCCAAATATAAATTTAACAAAATCAGTGTGTACAATTAATAAAACATTGACATTAATAGCAATTGATAGTTTACATTATTTTTATTTCGCGGAAGGCCTGGGCATAGACCTTTTAAAAAGGAAAGATAAAACTGCTGTTGTTATATTAGATGTTGTTGTAAGTATTTGAATGTATTTTCTTATTGTCACATATAATAATTTGTTATTTTTTCTTTTAGCATGAAAGTCAATATGTCATGCAGGAAGATTTTAATCGATATACACTTATACAGTTTATAAATAATTATACTCAAGGTTTTTTACAACGTACATTACGTTCTAATAATTCGAGACGTTTTGTACAAAAATTTAAAACTAAAGTTAGTTGTAAAACGAAAAATGTACAAAATATATGCATACCAGAATTAACAACTGAAACATTCTTAGATACTATATTAGATCCAACGAAGGTAAATTAAGAGGGATAATAAACATGTTTTAAAGTTTATAAGAAAAGAGATAAAGTTATAAGATAAAAGAGATATTAAATTGAATGATTTTTTTTTTTAGGATGTGGTCATAATGTACCACTCTCCTTATTGTGCATTTTGTAGCGCAATATTTTATGTATACTTAACAGTAGCTCATTACTTACACAAAATGGATCATCTGTTATTTGTAAGAGTAGACGGTGATAATAATGATTTACCGTGGGAATATAATATGAATCGATTCCCATCCATTCTTTTTTTTCCTGCCAAAAGGTAAGTAGAATTGAATTGCTATTGGTATTGTATTCTTTAATAGTTTTCTTGTTTCTTTCATTTCAGAAAAGAGGATAGCACGGTGTATCCATTTTCTTTGTCAATTACAATACCGAATCTTGTGAATTTTATTTTAGCAAATTTGGACGAAGATTCGCATGTTGAAGCGCTTGTAAATATTTGTCAGTCTGGAGCCGGTATGATTCCAGATGCGTGTATCGCTCGAACTCGTTGGCTGTGTTTAGATATTATTCAACAATTGCTTCGAGATTATCGAAAATTAATAAGGCATATTGCTATACTAGGAAGAACAAGTGCCAGGAATAAAAGAAAAGTCATTTTACTAAAATTGGCACACATTAAAGATATACACTTAATATTGAGTTCCACTATCGACCTCAGAGAGGATCAATACAAAGTAAAACTCATCAGAAAAAAATATAGAAAATATTATAAAAATATTAGGTCACTTGAGTTAGATAGCAAAATAAATAGCAATCAAGTGGAAGATTTATATCAAGAACAAAATGTTCTCGAAAGGAAAATGATTAGAAGCGAATTGTGATATCGATTTAAAGATAGATATATTGCAATGAATGTTATTTTACCTAAGTTCTTTTATGACTTTGTACTAAATGTACAGTATATACCTCACAAACGGTTTTATTTTACGAATGTAAAATACATTCAGCTGAATTGTATGTATCATGCGCAAATGATATCACAACTTATTTAAATATTTTTGTGAATATGTATTAGGAAAATACTTATCACTTCAGTGCGAAAAAAAAACATTCCCCATTTAATGGTGCGAAAATATTATGGATGCAATTTTTGCTATGTACTTGTAAAAAATGTACATTCGTTATTTTTTATTTAAATTTTTATAAAAATTTTGCAAGGAAAAGATATTTATAACTATCGTTCAAACAAAGATAGTAACACATTGATAAGACTATTTTTTCCAGTGCATCATGATCCTATACAGGGAGTGTACGTACATTAGACTTACTCACCTTTCATTAATATTCATGATGTTTAATGTTAGACCAGAGAAGCAAAATGTATTATTGCAGATGTACAATAGCAAAGCACGTAAATTCTAACTTTCAGAATTTATTTTAAAATACAAGATATTTAGGCAATATTAAGTAAGTCCTATCTCTACATCAAAGTGAGATTATCAGTTTGAGTTTCTATTTGGTTCTATTGTGTGATTCGTGCATACATTTATTAAAAATGTATGTAACTTGTACATTTGTGTAAATATTGTTATACGTTATAAGAATAAAAACTATACATTGATATAAAAAAAATATAAAAAGATTATGAATAGAGAAAAAGAAGTGTAAAATAATTAATTACAATTATATAATGATTGCAACGAACAATTAAAATATTAATTCATATCATTTTGTAACTATTGTAACTCTGATTTTAATCGTATAAGACTTATTGGTGGCATAATGAATTCATAACAAAATTCAAAAAAATCTATATTTACTGTACCACGACCTTATATGTACGAAGATCGGATTAAAAGTGATAAAATAGCGTGGGCCGAAAGTGGTCGATGGGTCGCGTAATCTTGCGTTAGTCATTCTCTCCGTTTGCCTGATTTATTTATGGGTTGGGCTACTTATTCGATGTAATGAAATTCCTAGTAAAATGACGTGTGATAAGAAACTCGTTTTTTTCTAGCGATTTAATTGCTGATCTTTGATCAGTACACGGCATTGAATTGTCACTTGGGTTTTTGATCATTTCCAATAATGTTATGCGAATAGAATAATTTTAATGATTTTATATCATTTAATACGCTTCGTTAATAATAACGCAATACATTTTGTACAAGAAATAAATTTTCAAATCTTTTTTATTGTATATAAAAATGGATCGACAAACTTAATAAATGTATTTAAATCATTTTGCTGCTAATCATTGATTCGCATCTATAGCGCAAATCTATATCCTAAATTCATAATTCACGAAAGTACAGTTATATTTTACAAGGCGTATACAGACACGAAATAGAAATATTTCTTACGCGAATAAGATAAATAGTGTAATCTGAAAATTGGAACCTGAATCTTTTTTCTCGATTGCCACGACGAAAGAAGTCGGAAAAAAATCTGCGAAGGAGAAGGGCAGGACTGATAATCGTGTAATAAATGCGAATAACAAAGTTATTAGTTCTAATTATATATTCACAAGTATCAAGTACGTTTTCTTATTATTCATAAGATTAGTTAGTTATCTTGATAAATATAACTACTATAAAAAAAGACAAGATAGAGAGGGACAAGAAAGGGAACAAGAGATGGATTCGATCAGGTTCAGTCTGAGATTCCAGTGAAATTCGGTAACCTCGGAAATGTTCGTCAACGCCCCCTAGCGAGCAGGATCATAGAAAGGAAGTCGGAGAAACATTCGGTTTCCCTTGGTAGTTTCCCTTCTATGTGGAAACATAACTGTATGACCGTGTGTACTGTGCCGCTGACAATGAGCCGCGGCGGTGACTGTGATAAGTGATCGCGTACCCTTCCTTGTCGCTAAACGCGTAGTGGCAGTGGAGAAAGATAGTACGTCGGCCAAGAAAAGAGTCTACCTCTTGATGACTCGCGCTTTACGCAAGGCGCAACGTAGCCGGAGCTCACAATTATGTTCGATGTACCGCCCAAGTTCTACGAGCTGTGTCGCCTTTGTTTATCGTCGGACGGTGTCAAATTGTCCATATTCGAAGAGGAAGGCGCCCAGCGGAACTTCGCCGATAAGATACTGACGTGCCTCTCGATTACGGTGAGTCTCGTCTAGAGTTTTCACCGGGTCCTCGTGCCGAGACGAAGATAAATCAGACGCGACCATCTGTGGTCCTCGCACTCGTCGGTGTGTCTCCCTCTCTCCTACGCGCACTCCTATCCACTTTTCCTTCGTTTCGCTCGCTCTTCGCTTGCTCTCTCTCTGTATATTGTCTTCTATCTCTATTCAACCTCACTATCTCAAGGGTGCGTGTGTGTATGTGCGCGTGCCACGGGAGAAAGTTTGGCAAGAGATGTGTCCGCGAGATAAGCCGACTCACGGGGGATTTAAAATGGCAGTGATAAGCTGTGTGCTCCTCGCTGTTGTGCGGATCTCATGGTAGAGGGGAGCAACTCCTTATTTAGACGGCCTGTTATCAGGTTTCACACGCGGATTCCACGAGCCGCTGTCACATTTTATTCTATCCTATATATCTCTTCTCTGTCCACGTAATCCGCGATCTGTTTTCGCATATATACGGTACATACGGTCTCTTCTGGAGGAAAACTCCGTTTCCGTTCAACCTACTTAGAGAAAAAAGTCGCTCCTTTTATTCCTCCCTGAAGTTTATTTTGAATTTTCACCTAAACAGAAATTAAGATATGTTTTACGTGTTTATATGTAATTAAAAATGTAATAATGGTTAGCATTGCTTTCTATGTTAACTTCATTTTGTAATTGTTATTTGATCTTTTTTAGGAAGTATTAGAAATTAATTGAAGTTATACAAATGAGAATATTGTCATAAATATTATAGAAGTAGCTATAGACTTGTCGATCAAAAAAAAACCAATGACACAATTGCGTTTTATTCAGGTAAAAGATGGGGATTCTTTGCCACCAAACATCTGTCACCGATGCGTATACAAGTTGGATGTACTGCACAACTTTCGTGAAGTGTCACACAAATCTGATGTCATACTCAAACAGTACCTGGATTATGCCAAGCAGTTATCATCACACGATGATCAGGTAGTTATTAAATATATTTTTTTGAATGCCATGGATAAAGAGATATTATTGACATAAATCAGATTATACAATATGAATCACATCATTTTCCAGTTAAAAGAATAAGACAATTTAACACAGTAGCACCAATGAGCAGTCATTCCATTCTAAGTAATGATGCAACTGAAAACATGCAATATGTGATTGTAGATAAGAATGTGCTTTGGCACATGTACATTCCACATATTGTAAACATACATTTAATACATACAGGATATTTATATGCCTTTGTGCCTATCAGTAATTATGTAAGACACTTCAAGGTTTCCTTTAATGCAGTCACCTTTAACCTGATTAATTTGATAGTGATTACAGAATAGAAAAATTTATGCACATAGCTAATTATTTTTTTGTGAGTGTATTCTGATCAGGTACAAAGTACAAATGTGAAAATATTTTTAATTCGTTCTAATAGATGAAAATTTATGCTGAAGTCAATAAATGTTTGCTCAGTATAATTTTAATAAAAATGACATATGAATGTATTAAATATTATAGTCTTCTTTTTATAGATATTTTTAAATACATTTTTTATTTGTATATTTTATTTAAACAATTCTAATGAATAGTAATTTGTTTTGTTTCAGAAGAAATCTTTCTCCACTGCCAAAGTAGCAGGTTTAAATCCTCTACAGTCATTTCTCCAATTGAACAAAACATTGTTCAATGAGGAGCCTAATTCTCCGGCCAGCATTAATCAAAACGTTATACCTCAGACTCAAACACATCATTTGGAGTTGTGCACCAATGACATGCCTGAACATGATAATATTAAGTGTGGACCAGAAGATGACACGTGTTCAAATAGCTCTGATCCAGACAGATTAGAAATAGAAGATCGAGATGAGCAGGATACTGAGGGGGAAGAAAATGGTTATGATATGACTATTAACAAGAGAATAAAAGTAGAAACAAACTATGAAGAATCAAAAACAAGTACCCCTAATCGGAGTCCAGTAAATAGAATGGATACACCAGAAAGCAACTGTTCAGATACAAATATTGATCAAGAAACAACAAAATTATGGCAAGCATTAGCAAAGTAAGTACAAAATTTTAAATTTGTTTGTAAGGAAGTTTATTTCATAGAGTATGAGAGCATAAATCTACATTGTATAGCAGTTTCTGTTTGTGTGTACTTATTTATTTAATACGTATGTTCACTTAATCAATTTAATGTATAATGTAAATAGATAATGTAAAGTTTACATTATCACATTACACTGTACTTCACAGTTTATATTATTCTTTGTTAAGATTGTAAATATAGTCTTGTGCTTAACATATTTACCTTTGGACTTTCAAAATAATTACTGTTTGCAGTAACTTTTTCGTCTAGAAATTAGAGTATCTTTAAAGATAATACTTGACTAACTACTGATATATTACATCTGTATCTACTTATATTATTAGATTTGAAACGATATAATCTTTGTGTTTGTTTTCAGCAACAGGAGTTTAGAGATTACCAGGACAAATGGTGATAAATTAAATAATGGTTTTACTGGTGAAGCGACTAATTTACTGCGTTCCTTGATCAACAACAGACAAATTGGTATTACGCCGATTGATGCGGACAGAGTATCACCCCAGATTAGGTTTTATAGGGACACCCAAGGGACAACAATCGAACGTACCATACCTGATTGTTCTGTACTCGGCAATCGTACTAATATCTCCTGTATAGAAAACAAGGTTCGTGAATTTTAAAATAATATTTGAATATTTCAATAATATAAATCGTAGCTATCATGTTCAGATTGAGTGCGTTCTAAAATGTCATTAAAAACTTCTGCCAAATTCTCGCTAAGATTTTTCAAATATATTTTGGATATTTTTAAAATATATAACGTTAATATAGAAATAGTAATAAAAGTTGAAATTCTCTTTTTTCGAAATTATACCTTTTTAACAAAATTCTGAGATTTATAGAAAAATGGAAAATCTTTACTTTCTTTGTTATTCATACTCCTTTGACCTCTAAATCTTCCTGCAAATAAAAGTTTTTCCATGAGAAGTCCTTGCAGTTTGTTCAATGCAAATACTAGAAAAGAACTGCAGGTATAAAAAAGAAGATAGGTCAGGTGACCCTTGGGTGTCAAGGGATCCCTTTGGAACCTATTCAGGTCCCATCTGCTTGCAGGTAAGAAATGTAGTAGGCCTTGTAGATAATAGATAACTGAGAAGTCTTTGTGATAGTCTATAAGCGCTAAGTCCACCATGTCAAGCTGCTGTTAACAGATGTTCAGATAAGTTGGGTTTCTACAGATTTTTAAATGCGTCTTGTTCCGAGGAATTTTTCAATTTCTTCCGGTATGAAACAGGATTGTACTATCCTTTGTACTATTTTCCATTTTATTGGCTTTATTTATGGTTTTATTCCGATAATGGATACTCGGAGAAAATTATTTTTGTTCGTTGGCAAATTATCTATATCAAGAGAATTTCGAACTACAAATGCGAAATTAAAATAATTACTGAATGAATTAAAAATGTAATATAGTAGATATGTAATAATTTCTTTATTAATCTATAGGGTACATCTGTGGATAGCAATCCGTCGAGTCCTGCCAGTGTTGGTCGAAAAGAGACCAAAGGTCGTAGAAAACAAAGCTATCCTAGTAAAGCTCCAATGAGTCCAGATGTTAATTATCAACACGAGTCTAACGAAGAACAAGCACAAGATTTTACAGCATGGTCAAATAAAATAAAAGTGAAGGTATGATCGGAAATTCATTATGTAAAACAAAATATATTTGTCATGATTATGTCATAATATTTGTTGATTATTTGTGTAGGTAGAGGATCAGAAACAACAATTTGATCAACATAGTGGTAATATGACAAAAAAAGTAGATATGTCGTGTACAAATTGTGGCACTATGACCACAACAATTTGGAGAAGGAATATGAAGGGGGAAATGGTTTGCAACGCTTGTGGACTCTATTATAAACTTCACGGGGTAAATCGTCCAGTTACTATGAGAAGGGATACGATACATACACGCAGACGTAGACCCAAAGGCGAGAAACCAACGAGGCATAGAAGTAGGCTTTACATACATATCATAACGTTTTCAAATATTTTGTTTCTTTTTCAATATAACTTTTTTTTTTTTTTTTTTTAAGAAAAAGGTGACTTAATTTTGGCACCACAGTCAGAACAAATGGATGCAGAAAGTGCAGACATGTTAGCAGCGCTTCGGCGACAAATTCAACCCCACTTAATGATGGCTGCACTAACGCCACCGCATATACCCGGTGGCCATCCACCAACCCCAACCGCTCAACTCAATTACCCTCTTCCCTTACCTAGTTATATGATGCACGTAAGTATCATTCAACGATCAGTGATTGTATAACAGTTTTACACTTTTGTTGCATTTTTTTAATATTTATATATTGTAACAGCATGTGAAGGCAGAAGGGCGAGAACAATGTCATTTATCTACAGAAACAGAAGAAACAGAGGAAGGAGATGCAGAGAATGTTTCAGACGTACCATTAAACTTAGTTGCGACATCGTTATCCGAAGTGGCACATTGAAAACCCGACCAGCTTCAGAACGACTTCTATCTGTATAGGTATATACATATAAGTCGTTATATATAACAAGGAATCTCTAGACAGAACAGTCTGTCCGGCGATACACAGGGTTTAAAAGACGAGATTGTTCTTCTCCTTTCAGTCATTCACTGACTCTCGTCCATAATCCTCTTTTTTGGATTGTTTTCTCCTTTATTTCCCTCTCTTCCCACGGTCTCGAAAAATTTGAGATGGTAGAATATTGGGATGTGTATTTATCCCTTGAGCTACCAAGCCCGTGGTGCAGAGCGCACGAAGGAACGATGATATTAAGTACGCAGTATTAATTACGTGGTTATTCAAAATATGTACATATATAATATACACGAATACGAAGAATATTTTTATACAAAATTTTCTACGCTTGCAGCTATGGAGAGCGACGGGCGATCGTTGTACATACACGCGCAAATTGTTCTTTCGGTGTCGCACGTATTTTACGCGTTAAAAAAGAATGGTGGTAGTTGTCTGTTTTTTTAGTGACGTAAGAAATTTAATCACCAGTGAAAGTTTTTAGAACGGTGCTAGATTACTGTTCGGGAAGGCTTAGAAATAAAGAAGAAGAAGCAAAAAATGATCTGTCACTAAAAAATTAGTGAACAAAATTTAACCGTTTTGTTCCACGGGCTTTTAGCTGTCAGTGATGTTACAATCATAATAGTCTCGTTGTTTTGCGAAATATTTAATCTAAAAAAAAAAACAAACGTCTCAGCTAAACTTAATTAGTAAACAAAACCTATTTTTTAATTTGTTTTAATAACGAGTGGAATCTTATTATTCACTAAAAAAATGGAAAAAAAATGAATGGAACAGAAAAACGGTTGCACAATGTGACAAATTAAAGAGAAAAACATTCGATACATATTCTGTAATTTGAGCGCCGTCAAATTACATTTTTGCCAGTATCATCTTTAAATATCATATTCTAGTGGCCTTTCAGTGATTCATCTCTTTTCTCTTCCTTTTTTTAGCTCTTATTGCAGTAAGTGCAGATAATTTAATTACGAATCTTAATTTAGATGACGTAGATACTTTTTTACATGAGCACGAAACTGCCGGTGTAAACACTCGGTTTTAAATACTCTTTCTACCATTTACGTATTCTTCCTTCCTTTTTCTCTATGTGTTGACAAGCTTCTCGACTGTTTATACAGTTGCCAAGAATTTGTACTTAATAGGCAAAGCAGCACACCACCATATAAGCTAAGACTCCGAAAGCAATAAAAACGCGATGGTACGTAGGATAGATTGTCGTCATACAATACTCGTTTGCGTGCTCTCTCGACGACAATTTGAATATACATGAATTTCAGGAACTAATACTTAGATAACATTCATTTATACCAGACGTTAAAAGTAACAAATTTTATTGCTCCACAGTTGCTGTAGGTATTCCACAATTTCCCTTTAAATTTCTTCCTTAACTCTATCTATTTCATTTTATTTTCATATTGTAAAAGAAGAAAACAAAGAAAATGTTGATGATATTTTGATGTAGATAAACAAAATTACTTGTTTTCCTAAGGGTTATCACTGATCTATATTTTCCAGAATGTACAGATCACACATTAATAAAGAGGTATTAAGCAACATTAAATATCACTTAATACAATGGCCAGTGCATCTACTCATGTATTGTTATATCTAACATTGTATACCTAAACAACTTTGCCAAAAATAGATTTAGTCTATGTAACATAGAATATAGTTAAGGGCATACGATAAAAATTAATGTTTTATCTTTCTCTTTTACAAACCTCATATACAGCATTTACATATTTCTCCTTTATTTTTCTCTCTCTTCTTACAGCTCTTCTTATCAGTGATATCTCTTGGCATACATTGCTTTACAGAGCTTTTAAATTCACTTACAGTAATTGGTGGAGCAACTTAGTTTTAGTCGTTATCAAAGGAGCCTTATGAACTCACTTGTGTGTATAGATATATATGTATATATACATATATATATACATTGTATATAAATACAACAAATATTTATAAATATATTGATAAATACAACAAATATATTTATAAATACAACAAATATTTATATACAATATATTTATATATATATATATATATATATTTACACACGACATACACACATTACACATAAACTTACATACATAAGTACTACATACATACATAAATACAGTGTTCTACGCTACTATACGAATATGAATGGTACCACAAATCAGTGTTATTCCCTTTCTTTTTTTAAATTTTTATCTAATAAAATTTTTTGGAATTTTCAATGAAAATCTAGACATATTTAATACATAACAAAAGCTAACTTATTTTGAAGCTATTGTTATATTCCTTTATATCTTTTATATATGAATGGCATTGAAAACATGGCATCACGAGTATTGGAGAATATACTGATGATGTAATTTCACATTAGTTGCAATCTGAATAACAGATTGCTAAACTTTTCTCTTGTACGTTGAAATGATCCTTCCATTTAGTACATATTCGTATACTTCCTCTTTTACAAAATGATTAAGAGGTAACATATCTTTTAAATAAGTTTCAACAAGTGTATATTCTATGTATTTTATTTACTTTTATTGTAAAACGAATTTGTAAATATCTTTCAAAATTTGAATGTCTTATTTGCAGTCATCATTGCGTATTGTTTGATTGTGAATTTTCATATTTCAGATAAAAAAAACTGTTATTTTTAAGTGGTATATTATACTTATTTAAAAGATACGTGATACATATTTAGAGTTACACGCATTACTAACGGATGAAATCGAAAATGAATTAAAATACATACTACGAGTTTGACTTCTTCTGGTCAGGTTATAAAACGCCAGTTTTTAAAAGTTTTATTAACAGAACACTGTAAAATACCATTCTTTTAAGTGTACCATACGTGAGAAGAATGAACTTATTTATGAAATAATATTGATTTTTTAAAAAGTGAAAGCAATGGACAGTTATTTTGTTAGGCATTTTTTTTCTCTCAGTTATAAATATTTGGCTCGCGGTAGCTTGTTAAATAACAAAAACGGTATAACTATTATTATTATCCTTATATTTTTTATTATTATTATTATTATCATTATTATTATTATTACCATTGTAGTCGCGTAAGTAGAATTAGGTTTGAGCTCTCTACTAATTCTGAAGCTAGAGCATATTTTTTATAATTATTAGAATTGAGAAATCGAGTATTGCTATTATATATATTTATATACAAAACATACATACGCGCGCGCCCCCCACACACACAAACACACACACACACACAATTAATATATCGATTTCATTAAATGTTAACGATATAACGATCTTTTTTAAATAAGATTTAGTTGCAAAAGCGCCACTCGTCACGGTTCGTTTTTTTTTTTTTTTTTTTTTTTTTACAATGAGAACGAAAGAAAAAAAAAGCTGAGGCTTCTTATAGATTTTTTTTTTTTTATGTATCAGTATTCTACGCGTTTGATTTTAGCTGTTAAGAGTTTTAACCATCACTACTTAAAGAAATCCCCGACGGCGAGATTTGTCTTACTTAATTATTAAATTATTTAGTTATCTTCCCTCCTGTGTCCCTATTGTGCCCTTATTACCCATATTTCCCCCCCGTCCTTTTCCTTCATCCTTGTTTTGTACGTCTATTTTTACATAAGCGACCATCCCCTAAGTAATTATTTAAACTATAATTTATTGTACTCACCGTTTTTTGCACCAACGTTTATGTAAGACATCTTTTTTTCTTTTTTGGCAACGACTGGCTTAATTTATTGTTTCTACGTTGTACTTTATACGAGTTTCGCTCTCTTTTTTTCCTTTTTCTTTCTTTCTTTTTTTTCTCTCTCTCTTTCTTTTCCTTTATTTTGTAAAAAAAAAAAAAGAGAAACAAAACATTTACACACATCAGTTGATAATGATCAGGCAGTATGCATATGGTCATTTCCCTCATTTTCTGCGAGACACGCTCGGTTTTTATGCGGTACGAGACGCGGACGGTCAATGCTTTAGGTGCCTTCGCCTGGAGATTTTGTTGAATACAGATACGCGTACATCTACGACGCCGTTTATTGTAACTAGTAGTTCTCTGTTTTCGATCCACTCGCTTCCCTTTTCGTCTTGACGAAACACGTGTGCCTCTACAATTAATATTACTAATATTTCTTCAATTTCAAATCGCTTATTAACGGGTACAAAAGAAGGAAAAAAAAAGAAAAATGGTCAATGACGATCTGATTATGCAAACTGTCCCAAATTTAAATGTCAGAACTTCGAGAATGCGTGGAACGTCGATAAACACCCCCCCCCCCCCCCAAAAAAAAAGAAATCCTTTAGAAATTTGCTCGGTCTTGTTTGACAAAAAAGCTTTGGAACGAGAACGTTTTTCTTTCGCTTTTCTCCAAAATGGAGCGAGAAAGAGCAAATCTCTCAAAGAACATTTTTTCTCAGTTTATCAATCGCCTTCCTGTTTTTGAAGTTTTTGATATTTAAATTTGGAACATTCTGTATACTGTGTATGTAACTATGTACAGTGTTTGGTAATTAATTACCAAAATGACGAGCAGGAACGAGATCAAAGCGGTGGATCGAGAATAGACGAGATCAATTCGAAGTGCTTCGTCGTCACGTGCAGATCTTCGATAAAACAAAAGTAACTTATTTAAAAAGAAAAAAGAAAAAAATCGTGGCTACGAGGCATTTCGTGTCTACAATGAACAAGTGTATACGAAAAAAAGTCTCGAGGATAAGAAACAAAAATGAAATGAGACAAAGAAATGCATAATTGTACATGACAGATAGAGAGCAAGAGAGAGTAAGAGTGAGAATGTATAGTGTGTATGTATGCGTGAGAGAGAGAGAGAGAGAGAGGGTGGGGTGGAGGGGGGTGGAGAAAGAAAAGGTATTTACACGGAACGACGAAGAAAAATAAAATAAATGAGGGGTGAATCGTCAATCGTCTCTCTGCGGCTTGAGAAGTAATTAATTATTAACTCGCAGCACTGTTCCGTCCGTTTGCGCGACCGTGAACTTTTTGATTTCACCGAGTTTCCCTCGTTGAGATCCTAAGTCATACATAAGTACATACATGTACACACGTTGCACGTGTAGGCACGCATTAAAGGCGTACATAATTTACATTGTACGTACTTTAATGCATAAGCGAAAACTTATGTACACACACGATAATTACATATGTATAAACGGTGAAGAGAAGAAGCGATAACGGAGGCGTAAATCGTGAAACACACTGTAAAAAGGTTAAAAAAAAAAAAAGAAAAAAAGGAGTAAAACACACGCAGTAAAAACTGGAAACGCTAAGACCCCTTTCCCAGTTCTTATACTGAGTATTAAATCTGAACTAATCGACTGAGTATTATTTTTATATCGAGCGTAATAATATTAATAAAATTAATATAAATTAAAACGCGAGACAGAGAATGATGGGTTGAATCGTACGCGAAAACCGAGAGAAAACTATTGTAAAGACAGCGAGATGACAGATGCGTTCTCTTTTTCTTCTTTCGACTTTCTCTTTTTTCTGTTTAAACACGAATTGAAAAGACTAAAAAGAAGGAGAAAAAGAGAAATGAAATTTTAAAGGAAAAAGGAAAGAGGAGAAGGAAAACGCATGCGACTAATGATTGCGAGCGCCCTGATTACAATATTTTGTATACAACCACAACGCGAAGTGAGAAAAAATTGCGAACGAATTGAGAGAAGCGACAAAGAAATAGAAGGAGAAAGATAAATAATTAACGATGGAAGATCGTGATGCAAGATCCGATGAATGCCAGAATTTTTTTTTTTTTTGCGATACGAAGCTTTGATCGGCCGGAAACTAACTTAAAACAAAAACAAAGAAAGAGAATTCGATATGTAACAACGGTGTTGTACGTTAATTACATACATGATGCAGCAATAGAACGACGATAAGGAAATGATAAAAAGAAAATGAATTACTTTTGTATCCGCAGTTATCTATGATAATAAGTTAGTCGGGTTAAGGCCAGCAGCTGTTGAGATTATTCATGGTTGTGTGTATCATTATAAGTATTTTGAATTGTTGAATAGTAATTAGTGTAAGCGGTGGCTTGAACGGGGCGACGTCCCATGCCCACAAAATGCACCATGAGGAGACGTCGCGTCGTCCAAGTTCGGTCTCAAGTATATTTCAACAATTGTCAGATATACATTTTTTCTCTTCGTCATCCAAGATATTTAAAACTCTCGTCCCGTATCGATCGATCATATTTTATTTTACTTGTATTTTATATATATATACATATAACATGTATATGTATTTTTTAAAATAATTGTACTTGTAACAAGTCGTGTCTCCCATACACGAGATCATTGGGGTCTTTTTTTTTAATTTGTAATTACCGTGAAGCACATTTATTGTCCATGACAGACGAATCTAACTTACGGGTCTAATTTTTTTCAAACTTCGTACTCTTCATGTAACTCTATACGCATACTGTTTCTATCTGATTTCGAAATCATTCTCATTCTCTTTTCTTTTTTTAATCAGAACCATATTTTTGAATTTCTTCTTCTTCTTCTTCTTCTTTTTCTTTTTCTCTTCTTCTTTATTGAATATTTTTAAGCTATTTATTGAATCGAATATTGCTATGTAATTTGTTAAAAATTCTTTCAACGACTTATTTTCTACATGTTTTTCTTGTCTTTATTTCGAAACCATGCTTCATATGCATACCTGTGACTCTGCCAATGGTTCATTGATGAATCTCTTTAGAAAAAAAAAAAAAAAAAAAAAAAAAAAAAAAGGAAAAAAAAAAAAAAAAAAAAAAANAAAAAAAAAAAAAAAAGGAAGATAGAAAAATAAAAAAAGAACAGAGCGAGAATTGCGATCACTCGACGTCTCTTATTTTTGCACCTACCGCCTAGCTAAGTCAAAGAAGTATTGTGTGTACTGTGTTTGTTGTTAACACGTTTGCCTTTCGACTCATTAAAAAAAAAAAAATTTTTTTTCATCTAATCTCCTTTAAATATGTCAAAAGTTAACGTTTGTTCTTCATCATTTCTCGTAACGTGCAAACGTGTCAATGCAACAGACACAGCAGATCGGCGGGCAAAGGACCAAAATGTACAACAACTGTGTTTGCCCATTCTTATGGTTGGTATGATTCGTTAAACGTGTGAAACGAGATCGAAGCTGTAATTGTATTGATGGATTTTTAAGCGAAAAAATGTTGACATTATTTTCGGGGGGGCATCTTACTGCAAGGGCATTGTTGTGATATCACAGATGCAGCTTCATTGAAACTTAAATTAAAAAAAGTAATGCGTTAACGATTTGTTGCGATCAATGTCATCATTGACCGCGTGTGTCCGATATTGTACGTGGAATTTAATTTTTTTATATAAAGATCTGTTTAGAAATGAAACATCAAAAAGGAGTCGATGTCTTTCTTACCGAAATTCATGTCTGTTTCTTTTTTTTCATGACTTCTTTTTTTTATGTAAAACAATTTTGTTTTATCAACATTTTCATGCACTGTCTTTTGTTTTAGACAAATTAAAAGCAATTTTAGATATTTTCTTTTTTTTTTTCGACAAGTTTTTCTTCGACAGATTGCTACGAGTTTAAATTTGAAATTGACCGGAAGTGATCAAGGTGAGTCATTTCACTTCTACGCGACAACAAAAAGAAAACAGAAATATATATATATATATATATATCTTACATTTTTATAAACGATAAATTAAAGAAAAATATAGAAACGTTTAATTCATATGAAATACTGGAACAAATATTGGAACAAACGTTGTTTATAGATCACTTTTGTTTTCATCGAGAATAATCATCCCCGCTGTTTTAATTTTCATTGCAATTTAATTTTAATGAACAGTCATTTTTTTATCCACAAGATCATTATTTTACCGAATTTGATAAAAACATTTTCTCGATTGTTTTACGGATGAGAAAAAAATATTTTATACAATGGTAATTTGATGCACGTAGTACGAAATTTTAATACGTCATTTCCAACCTTACTGCGCGTAGTTCGTTCTTCCGCTACTCGCCATCTTGTGCAGGTTGCGTGTAGATTTGTGTTCCTCGATTTGAAACAGATTTTCCCGATCCGAGCGTTGCTCCTGTCCAAATTAAGGATTTCAAGCGATCGAAGAAGATGAGTTACGGTAGACCACCGCCTCGAATTGATGGGATGGTGTCCTTAAAAGTGGACAATCTCACGTACAGAACGACGCCGGAGGATCTGAGACGCGTGTTCGAAAGATGTGGCGAGGTCGGCGACATTTACATACCGAGGGACCGATTTACTCGAGAAAGTCGTGGATTCGCGTTTGTCAGGTACGTATGCAAAAGAATCTAGATTTTTGTTTCCTATTTCTTAATTCGTCGTCCATGTTCTGCTAATTACGATTTATCAATATGACGTCACTTTTACTACATGTTTTAGTACATATTTAGATAATAAAGCTTGTATCTACTAACAAACATTTTATACAAACTGTATATATTATCTAATAAATTATTTATGTTATACAGGGTCTGACCTGCGACTCTTGGTCAACCAATTAGATTCTACATGTAAGAATGTGTTGGAAAAGAAAGAACAAAATTATTTCATTAAAGTCTTGGTTTTTGAGAACATTGAGTTTGAAAATTTATCAATTATACTTGAATGTGGCTAACTCCATATCAGATAAACGCGAATAATCAGAATATTCTGCGCGCAAAAATAAAGATGTAGAGTAAAATTTTTTCATTGAAAGCGCCATTTTCAAAGAAATATGCTTTGAATGTATGTTTTATTGAAGATTACCTGAAGTACGCATGTAATCAAACTCGATTTTCTCGAAAGATGGAGCATCTTGCTGAAAAACTTTATTCTACGTTTATTTATTTTGGCACGTAGAATAATCTCCTGTTATTTTTTTTTTTTTAGTCTAGAATTAGTTAAATTCAAGTATACTCGATAAATTTTCTTGAAAACGAAAGCTTTAATAAAAAAATTTCATTTTTTCTTTTTGACATAATTTTGCATATAGAATCATCTCCCAGTAGGTTGATCACGAGTCACGGGACATCTTATGTGTGTGTTGTATATATATGTTCTATGTATCAGCAATAATGTTTTCATTATTCTCAATTATTATTTAAGATTTTATGACAAGCGTGATGCAGAAGATGCGTTGGATGCTATGGATGGAAGGCTGTTAGATGGTAGGGAACTTCGAGTTCAAATGGCACGGTATGGACGACCAACATCACCACACCGAAGTCGTGGCAGCCGTAGGCGAGGAAGGTAACTATTATTGAATTTTATTATATACACAATCTATTTTATGTTTATGCTAGAATACAGACAAACACTGTTGCATACATCGTTAATAAAAACGTTCAGACACTTGTGTATATATTGTGGTAATTTTTCTAAAATTTCATTGGCATTGTAATGAAATACAATTATTTATATTGGTAAAATTTGAAACAAATCTGGGAATTACATAAAAGTTACAAGATATTTATTGCAAATATATGCTTAATAAAAAATTAATATATAGCATTAATAGTTAAACGTACAATTAGTGTTGAAAATGATTCCAGTAAATATTGCAATGAAAAATTGATTAGTGATACTTTATGAATTTTTTTGGTAATTTCTGCAGTGTGCATATTTGCAATGACTTCTAACTTCTATGTAGATTTTCAGATCTGTTTCAAGTTTAATTGCTATAATCATAAGTATAATCTGAAATTTTATAAGTATAATTATACTTATAAAATTTCAAGACTTGTATAATACATACATATAATATATTATTACTAGTAAGTAATACTTATAAGAAGTATCTGAATATTTACGAATCACAGGAAATGTTAGTAATTAAAAATACGAAAGAGATTATAAAATCAAAAAGTTCTTTTTTTGTTACGTTTTGTTCACAGATCACGTAGCAGAAGCAGGGATCGAAGACGCTCACGTTCCAGATCACGTAGTAGATCAAGGAGTCGCGATAGAGATCGTAGGCGTTCGTATAGCCGTAGTCGTAGTCGCTCGCGTTCTGATAGTAAGAGCTCGCGCGGAAAGTCCCGTTCTCGCAGCAAATCTCCAGATAGGCAAAAAGACAGTCGCTCCAAATCAAGGTAAGTTTTATAACTATAAATGTTTCGTAAAATTTAGTTATAAATTATAAACTTGTGATATAAGATACTAACTATATGTAATGATAAATATTTACAACATAATCGTTTTTTTTTTCATACAGGGACTGAAGTAATTGAACCATATACAAGTACAACTGTGAACAGATGCACGTGCCGCGAGTGCAGAATAATCGTTTCTTGAGAACAAAAAGGTATTCTATTACCCTCTATATCTAGAGCAACACTGTCGCACGTTCACATTTCTTCTGTCACTTACATATTAATTATGACGATGCACTATTTGGGTTGGAAAAAAAAATAACCCAATACTAATTTTAATGTAATGTATCTAAACTGTGAGTTTAACAAGCTCACGGAAATTTTCATTTACAAGTTTTCGTAATTATTCTTGCTCTGTTAAGTGATATATTATCTCGAGTAATACTTATTTCTGATCAGAAGAAAGTAAATGTGTTTTTCTGTAAACGTGTTGATGCGACCGAAACAGCTTGTTTTAATCAATCAATTAAAGTTTGTTATTATCCTATTAAGAGCTTCGAAATAAATTTTCTAACACTTATGATCTTTCATTTTGCTCTGAAATAATAATTGGAATTTTGACGCTTCAAACAGAGCAAATAATATTCGAGTTCATGCATTCTATGAATAAATAAATAAAAGAAATGGTTATTGATTTGATCACATTGTTCTTATTTTATGTTGAAATATAGCGTGCACAATTTTTAGTACATTTCGATATAAGTGAGTTATAAATGATTACAGTTACAATTTATTCTTTTTTTTTCCGTTTCTTGAGTAGCTGAATGAATAGTTTAAACTATGTCGTATACATAAGTAATAACATGAAACCAACTGTTTCGATAAAATTACCGATTGTGAAATCGTTTCCGTTATTATATAAAATTATTCGAACCAAGCAAGGTGGATTAAATATTCCTGGAAATACATGAGGGTGTTGATATGGTAATTAGCAGGTAATGTAAACTGTATGTGGTCGACTTGAGTCCGACTTCTGTACAAAGTTTAAGCTAAATTTTTAAATCGTAACATTCTGAATAATTTTCTATTGTTTGTGATTATAACTTGACAAGTTACGATTATGACACGAAAGAAAATGAAAAATTAAAAGTCGCGATACATATAGATTGTAGACATAAGTTCTGCGTTTCTGTAACAGTATACAAGTTTATTTATGTAAGTTTGCCATTTATAATAAAGTATAATAAAATGCAGAAGACGGAACTATTCACATAATTTTACAGAGTGTTTAAAAACCACATATACATAGATGCAGATAATACTATTAGCAAAGTGATAAGTTACTCGCAAAATTTTGTATTATTTATATTTATCTACGAAAATATTCCGACATCGTAATTATAGATTTTCTTCTATCGAGTACAATGAGACTATAAAAACGCAATGTTCCCAATTAAAATTATAAATTTAAGAAACTTGACTCTTCTATGTTTACTTATTACTGTTAAAATATTTTAATTGTTTATATCTGAATGTCATTAACTTCCTCGAATCTTGTACGCTATTGTTAAGCTTAGATAAACCAAATGCTAGAATTTAAGATAATTTAGCATTTAACCATTGGTCTTATCTTTAATATTATAATCAAACATATTTCAACAAAAAAAAAAGAGAGAGAGAGAGAGAGAGAAAGATATAAAAATCCTCACACACGGATGTAACACGTTTATTCCTTATAACTAAGTTGTAATTTTATGGTGCCACAGGCGGTGGAAAGGAGTGGCGTGGCGAGTGTAGCTGATGATGGGGTAGCTGAGAGTAAGCAGTAAGCCGAGTAGCAGGGCTGTAAGCAGTTTGCAGTAGCGAGCGGTTGGTGGTCTGGTGAAAGCAGGTTCGCGCGAGTCGATCAGGGCGAGAAAAAGAGAGAAAGTGTGTGAGCGAAAGCTGTTTCTCTCTCTGTGGGGGGTCGGCATGCAGAAATTGCAGAGGGTACGGTCTCGAGAATGCAGAGAAATATGCAGAGAGCTCAACGAAAAGCTACACGCGGTTGCTGATCTCGACCATCGTCCGGTTTGCAGGTAGCACGTGAGCATCACCAGACCTCGCGAGCAACGACTCGACATTTCAACTGTTATATCTACCAATTGCTTCGCGTATTTCTTGAAACAAATAATTTCTCCAGTAATGGTCCATTCAAAATCAGCTATGTATTATCTTATTTTCAGCTATAGGTCTCATTCATAAGTTGAATGTTTAAATATCGATTTTCTAAGTACGAATATCCTTTTCCAAAATTACGTAACGTCAGCTATATATTTCATTTCATTTCAATGGTTCGTTTTATACATTTTTTAAATTCATTTCTTCCAACATGATCTAATCTAATTTTAAAAACAAATCTTTTAACTTTGATTTCTATTTTTCTAAAAATAGTTATTAAAATTCAGAACATAATACTCGTTAACGTCGTTTTCTATAAAGTCTGCAATGATTCCAGTTCTTATCATGGATCTTATCACTATTCGTATAGTGATCATCGCTTGAAACACTTGCCGCCACATTTTAAATAATTGGGAACATTTTAAGGGTGGGCAAATGGGATCCTTTCGTTTTTCCTGTACTCTTTTTTTTTTCAGGTATCAGCAAACATCAATAAAGTAGTAAGTATTATTTAGAGGTAAGGCAATGTTACAGTAAATAAAGGATTTCTTTTTAAGGGGAAGAATGAAAATTTTTGTAGAGATATATGAAGAGTTCGATCAATAAAGAATTCTTATTGAAGAAATAGAATTTTTTATTTCTTATTTGTACAAATGGAAGATTACAAGTCCTCTCAATATCCACGAACAATCTTTTACTCGACTTTCTAAATAGTATTAGTCTAAAATTTCCATTGTCCTACAAGTTGAATAATTTAACAATATTAATAAAAATATATTACATTTTTCTTACAATCTTAACTGTAATCATGCATGATCATTCATAATTGTGATAAATATTTCTATCATTTATATTAAAAATGTAATATCTTAAATGGCTTGATGCGTAAAATTACGCAAAACTTTATCATATATATTTCATTTAAATATTCCTAAATGCTATTAAGACATGCAAATGTATATATAAGATAAAAAATGTTACAAATTATTTATCTTTAATCTTATCTCCTGTAGGTTTCTTCCAAATATATAATTTGCAGTAAAGAGCTACAATATATAATACAAGAGCTATAATATGCCCGGAGAAATGAACAAGTTTGTAATAAACCAGATTTTCTTTGAAATCTAATAGTAAAAATGACATTCCCAAGTATGCCATGCAAGTTGTTTTCTCATACCATCCTAGCAAGTACCACAATTTTTTTGCCTACAAAGGAAAGTTAGATGAATTTAAAGTTCAATTAATAATTATGAACAAATATCGAGAATAGAACTTACAATACTGTTTTCTGTTTGCTGATAAAATTTGATGAATATATCTTCGGATAACATAAAAAGAGGAATTTGACAAAAGCAAACAACATAACCAGCTGACCAACCATGCCAGATAGCAGAAAGCAGCAAAGTTAAGACAGCTCGCATACTTTTTATTGGCAATCGTTTATAGATATAGACACCAAACCAATATTGAACACAATTGTTCCATATTTTCATAGCTGTTCTTGTCGAATTGCATTTTTCTAATTTCCAAACATTCATGTTGTATACAGTTTCAAAATCCAATTCTTCATTTTCCAATTTCTCAGGTGTTTTACATCTGTAATATTTGTATATTCTATTTTTCTTTCAAATGATAAATTTATCAAGAGATGATAAATTTGTTGTTCTTACAGTTCCTCTGTTGTTTTATAATCTTTAGGTCCTAGTCCTTGTATAGGCTTACATCTTGTAGGATATGCTCCTAGTCCAGCCATTTGACACCCACATTCTGCTAAACTCATTCCAATATACATTCGTGCTCGAAAAAGTACAAATGTAGGATACATATAAAAGTGTCTATAAAGAAAAGATCTTTCTGCATATTCCTCTGTTAAAATATACTGAAATATAAAGTAGAATCATAGTTCATCATTCATAGTTCTCATGATTTCAATATTATATTTTAGTAGTTGATATTACTCTAGTGGGGTAATAATAATCCATTATAAAAAAAAGCACAAGAAAGCATGCAACTTGTTTCAGTTTGTATAATGTAAATGGCCATGGATCTACTACTTTAGAAAATGGTCTATATAGATGATCCCAATACGTTCTATATCGGTAATATGGTCCTATGGAGAGAAATATTGTGTTTAGTTTTATATAAAAATTAGATTAATTATAGTTAAAGTATTATAGAATTACCAGTTAAAAGTCCCATATATCCAAAGCCATAATGAAAGACATCTAAGAATCCAACATTTTTCATTGCTTCATTACGTACACCTTCTAAATCATCAACTGGAGGATTAATAGATGCATTTAGTTCAAAAGCTAGACCAGATAATTTTAATGTTAATATCATCAGTATAAGATTTGTATGATTTGCTGGTACAGGCAAACCAATGTAATCCCCTAATCGACATATAACAAGTAGGTAAAAAAACGAAAAAATAAAGCTGACTATGTGACATTTCCTGCAAATAGTAAAATTTGGAAATATTATTAGTAAATTTTATATAAAAGAATAGAATGTAAAAAGAAAATATATAAGTTATTTAAGTATATTTAAATTATAATTTTTTATTAAATTAATTTTTATATTTTACGTTCAATATCGGATACAATAAATAATAAAATTTTTCATCTATTTAATAAATTTTTATAATTTAATGATAAATCAATAATAATAATACATTTTTGTACACATGATTAAGACTAAAAAAAGAAAATCATGACTCATTATATTAAGATTGCCAGTCGGCGATCAAATTGCAATTGATAGTAATTTGATATTTAAGTACTGATTGTGTCTCTTAAAAATATATATATATTTATGAATGACGCACTTGTGTAATGTATTTATAGTTTTAAATAACAAAATCACATCAAGCAAAATACGATAACATTATGATTAAATAAATAAGTAATGACTTAAAAAATATTATGAAAATAATCTTAAAATTATTTCACTTAAAATTAACTTAATTTTGAAACACATTATATAAATGATAAAATACTCTCAACTTAGATTAATAAATAAATATAATTAATAAATTAACATGTCATACTTTAAGGAAATCTTGGTTATAATAACCGCATTAATTATAGTCAGAATCAAAGGAAAAAATATATGACGTCCAGAAACAATTCCTGTCAATAGGATGCCAATAATCGTGCCAATCCATTTCTTTGCTTCTGGATCTTCAATTTTTCGATAATAAAATCCGAAAAATACACAGAACAACAGCAATGCAACATAAACTACATCAGCCCACATTGTATCAACTCAACTGCACAAACTACTATGTCTCCTATACTTGTATCCTATCCTGTCCCACCGACTACAATCAATCGGTGAACTTTGTACGTAAATAAATATTATTACGAAACAATTCTAGTAATTTACACTTGTTTACACTGGATTTCCTTTGTATTTAAATTTCAGCTGCAGGAAATGATAGGAATGTTATATTTTTATTGTTTTTGCAAATTTTACTGACGAACGTAATTTTTTTTGCGTAACTTGTCAATTTAGTAAAATAAAATTTTATGTTACTTATATCTTAATGATGTGTAATTTAAATAACAGAAATATTTTCCTTACAGATTTTTTCTTGACTTTTAAGTCAATGATTTAGTAAAATGAAATCATACATGAAAGGCGAGATATTAAATAACGACACAAATATAATTTAGTTATTTTAATAATTATATTTATATATAATTAAACAAGGACATTTCCATTAAACGCATATTTTAAATGCGTTTAATCAATTAGTATCAATATGAAAGTAGATTTTTAACTGTTCATTATTGTTAATAGTAGCTGTGACATCAAATAGTTCTTAATTGACTCAAGTTAAAACGTTCTAGGATTTTTTGCCGAGTGCTTTTTGCCTAAGTTCCGTTTTTTTCTGCAGGGCAAGCTCCTTTTGTTTCTTTTCGGCTTCTCGTTTTCTAGCCGCCTCTTCTCGTTGCTGTTTAACTATAGCTAATCGTGCTAAATCCGCGCGTGCTTCTTCCGTTTTGCCTGCTGCATGTAATTTTTGATAGTTTGCATATGCTCTCTGTCTTTCTAGTTGTTCTCTGAAACAAAGCAGAAAAGTGAATTTTCTAATCTTTATAATACATAAATTTCAATTTGTGTTTCATTGATTTTTACCGTTCTCTGCGAGATAAATCTGGTTTTGCCGAATCTAAAGATTGATTTAATTGGGATAATTTTTTTGCTTTTTTTTGTACTCTATTTGGATTTTCAACTTGAATTAAATTTTCTACACCTTTCGTCTTTCCCTGTAAATTTAAAAAGAAAAGGAAAATTATCACTTATTGATTGCCACGAATCCCTTATCAACTAATTTACCTCAGTTTCAGATTCTGATTCTGATTCACTGTCAGTATCTGTCCCCGATGAACTATGATTTTTTACTGAATCACCATGTGCTTTAGGTTCATCTTCTTCTTCACTAGAACTGTCCTTTCCTTTGTTCTTCTAAAAAGAACAATATTATTATAACTTTTAAATATGAAAGATCTCGTTTGTATTAATGAATTTCTATTTACCAGCCCCCTAAGTAAAATTTATGTAACATTTTTGAAAGAATAAATGCAAGTGGAGAGAACAGATGAAACAAATCATCTTAGGCTCTATCCATCGCTTTTGAATTCTCTTAAGAATTTTCTGAAGGTTTGTGCCCGGTTCTCTCAAACGGTATGTTGCACCGACATGGAGTATTGTGCTCCGTGAAAAATCTCAGTAATATGGTGCACACAATCACGCTCGACCGTCAAAGGATAATTCGACCTTACGTACTTAATAATAATATCTAAGCCGTCGTGCTGTTGGTTAACTTAAAAATACTGACTCTCCATTGGAGCTTTTTTTCCTCCTGGCGTCGTTGCTCCTCCAGCTCCTCAGGGTTAGTGAAGTGACGACTCCGGCCTTTGTAACTAACATATTTACCTGAAAGAAAATTATTTTGTCAAATCGAAATTCGTTCGTTGACGTTAAAACATACGGAATTGCGTTTTTCTCGCACAAAAATGTGGTGGGGAAAAGATGATGTTAACTGTATATGGAGTGTGAAATTAATAATAATTTGTCTACTTACCGCGCGGCATTTTTTCGAACCAGCTCGATCACAGCAGTTTAATGGCTATACGAAAATTTGAAGAAACACTCCTCTTCTCTATTTTGAGAAAGAGAAAGAGGAATTACTTTTAACGTCAAATTAATACTGCGCTGCTGCTTATTTAGTCGTCAGCCACGAGCTCTAGCGGCATAAACCATTGCATAGAATATTTGCGTGTATGGTTGGTAACATTTGTAGATTCATTAAAATAACTCAAGGATAGAAACAAATTTTTATGCAATCTAATTATGGTTACAGATAAATAAACTGATCCTTATTTTTGTGACAATATATAAAGTTATTTAAATATTGTACGACTTGGCTAGAATTTAATACTTATTTCTATCTATGATAAATATTAATAACTAACATAAGTTCCATAGTTATTTATGTATCTACTATAATTAATATTTATATTTGAATGCCATTTCAATTAGAATTTTTGCTATAAAATATATATAAATTTGATTGTATAATTTTTGCAGTGTCAGAAATTTGAACTGCATCGTGTTTGTTGGTCTTGAACAACATAGTTCATGCTTCAACGAATGATATGTGTTATCGCTCAATCGCTTAATAAACGTCAATTGCCAAATAAAACTGAAGAAATTAAATTTATTTTCTCAAAATCCCCTTTAAAATTGTTCAGTTTATTTTTCATTTTTGATATTCAAGTCCAATTAATTTTTTTGCAGATAGTAAAACTATTACGTGACTGTAATGGTTTCTTAAACCTATTCCGTTTTGCAATATAAAATAATACATTTTTACACATCAAATGGGTACCAATCGGTCTGCATTGAGTACCAATTATAAGTTATTCCATAACACGTCGAAACGCAATTTATCATGCATCTGTCTCCAATTTAAATTTGTAGACTAATTTTTTAATTTTTAATTTAAACAACTGTCTCTATTATAGCAATTCAGTTTCCTACAAAAATATTTTAATTTTTTAGAATTTGAATTGAAACGTTGTTAAACTTCCATTATTAAATTTAAATTGCAAAATTTAGTTGTCGGTTTCATTTTAATTTTAATTATTGCTACTTTGAATGCTTCATTTGTTGCGTAATTTTTTTTTTTTAACTGAGAAACAAAATTTGTATATGATTATTGTGAAGTGTTTTATATAAGATTCGTGTCTGGTTACTTTGAGAGTCTTGCAAAAAATTATTTAATGATTGGTATTGCTTCCTTTCGTTTATTACGTTATGACAGGCGGTTGCTTGTCATTGCTTAGTCACTACTGGCTGACGTTCTCTTAGTCTTCAATTTATATTATTTAAGAATAATTGGTTGGCTAGTTGCTTTTTAGGGGGGTCGATTGGGAGTTCTGGCCGTTTATAATACCAAAAGAATCATACGTAAAATGATTTCGTACAATATTTTATACAACTTGCAGTACATTTTTATCTCAGTATAAATTGTTAATTTTATTCATAATTTTATTGGATGTTATTATATATTAATTATTGATATTGCGTAATTTCAAAAAGATTTGAAATATTGCTAATATCAGCTATTTTGTGTTATGCATTCTTTGTTATTTTTAGAAAATTGTAAAATAATAATTAATCGTTTGATAATATTATAAGACGAAAGTTATTTTCCAATAGATTAATTAATCAGTATGAAGGAATGACAAAGATCTTTCAAGAAATAACGAAGATCTTTTACGATGTTTATAAAGTATCTAGTTAAAATTAAAACTATCGCTAGTTATTAAATTATTTGTTACAAGACCAAAGCAATCCTTTTAACAAATATCTATATTTTATTAAATTCGTTTATTGTTTTGCTGCAAATAGCATTCGAATAAAACCGCTCGTAGTGACAATTCAATATGGCGCGTTTCAGTACCGGACTACCATCTGGCGGCGTTTTCAAAAAGTACTTTACAATTCGAAAAGGAAGCAGCCAGTCTGTTTCGGGTATTTAAACTGGTTGGATGTAGATAGATCGTACTCTCGAGTGTTAGCCGGTGCCCGACTGTTTTGGTGTGCTCTGTCATTCACTTGAACAAGCCGTGAAAACGTATTCTATTTGTTCATCAGTGTTCGTTGTATTATAATCGTGGAATACGTCGTTTTTTACTTCTGTCGCGTTCAAAACCGATAATTCGATTGCTCTTCCGTGGTTCACGAGAAGTGTGTCAAAGTCGATGTAACGTGTTTCTGTGCGTCCATAGTCAATTGTAGCTGTAAGTGTCTACGGGTTTCGGATACGGTTCCTCTCCAATAAAAAATGGTAAGTCACGAAAACTTCTGCCTGGAATTTCATAATACTGAAATCATCAGTTATGTAACTAACACAGGGGAGGAAATCATCCTGATCATCATTTTCATCGCTGCTGTCAAAGTGTATCGTTGTCAAAAATTTCGTCCTATTTTTCATCCCCTTGCCGTATCTGAGAAATTTAAGGTTTTAAAAAAAAATCTACAGAATACACATAATACCGGAAATGTGTAAAATATGTAGCAGAACACCTGTTATAATATTTATAAAAACATTTGATGATTTGCACAAGCATCACATTCGTTACGTGGAATGAGGTTTAACTGTGATAAATTTAATTTTACATTTAACTTGAATTGATAATCACAGTATTATGGATTGCTGAATGTTTCAATATCTCGCTTTAGACTTTGTGTTATTTAAAAATGATTACATGATATCTTGTTTGGAAGAAATCAATCAATTTATACAATGAAATTTTCATACAATGAAAACAGATTTGACGTTTAACTTTAATTCGGAATAACCATGGATTAGCGAGTGTAAAATGAGTGAATTCGCACAATATGCGAATTCAATATTTCGTTTAAATGATGTATTATTATTCGAGAAGAATTCATTACTTGATATATTAGAGGAACAATGACGATGAATGATATTTGTATTAAAATTTCTAATCTTAATTCAGGATTGTAAAATTATCGGTCATCGAATGGATATTATATTATACATTACATTTATACAAACAAATATTTTGTTGTTTTAAATATTACGTTAAATATATATATGTATATACTGTATATTAATATATAATTAATAATATATATTATATTATTAGTATATTGCATAATATTAATATTTATTTAATATTACATTATAACATTATTTAATATCATATCTATTTGTTCTTAGTATAGAATTGAAGAAATGAATTGCTAACATTAAGAGAGTAGTGTAGAGAAAAATATTGACAAGACAGGGGATTAATTCGATCGCCAGAATCGCGTTTGAATGAATCTTGAAAGGAGCTTGTGCATCGATGTGACAGTCTTGTAGAGTCAAGGTTATTTCGTTTCCTTCACTATGCCTCATGAATGGGTACTCACCTATTCTACTTGCCCTTTAATCATTATAAAAAATACTCGAAATATCATCGGATTCTGTATTTAATAGAAAATCACACGTGTCTCTGAAATTGTTGTACAACCGATCACGGATGGTTCCGCGTATAAAAATAAATCGAAAGAAAGGAATATGTTTTCATTTAAGATGTCGCTTTTAAAAAAATTGAATTTGAAAATTCGACATTTTGTTAATTATTCCGTGTACGAAAATTCGGACTAATAAGAAGTTTCGATTAAATATTTTTGTTCTTTTATCTTCTTGCTATATACAGGGTGTTCCGTACTTGTATAACGGAATAGGAAGTGATTAAAATGAAACGAAAAGAAAGAATAAAATTTTTTCGTCGAAGCCTTCATTTTCAAGAAAATCGAGTTTGAAAATTTATCAAGTATACTTGGATTTAGCCAATTTTAGATGCGGCAGAAAAAAAATAATTAACAGCAGATTATTCTACGCGCGAAAATAAATAAACAATATTGAATCAATTTTTCTTGTAAGACGCTTTGCTTTCGAGAAAATCAAGTTTGAATATTTATCAAGTACACGTGTACCAAGAAATATATTCAAAATCTATTTTCGTAAAAATGGCGCGAAATAAAAAAATTTCATTTTACACTTACTTCTCACTTATTTTTGCCCATAGAATATTATCGTGTCGATCATTCGCGCCTGTCCAGCACATAAATTTTCAAACTCGATTCTCTTGAAAACAAAGGCTTTAATGAAGAAATTTTATTCTTCTTTTTTTAGAATCACTTCCTACTGGGTTGTACCATCAATTACAGGAACCTATATATATAATTGTGTTAAAAGAGAATGTATTTATAATGTATAAACATGCAACATCTATTGGTTTTCATTTGTTATAATTAACACATAAAGTGAATATTTAAAATATTTGTTGCATGTGTATATTTGCCTTCGTTTTATTAATTTTTTACATAAATAGGTTTGATCCAAAATTCATCAGACAAATACAAATTTCGTTTCTACATTTGTAGCAACAACTTTAAATTAAATTTGATGTAAGAACTGTTTCTATTTATTTATTACTAAATAGATTAGTTACTTTCTGTATCTGAAAAAGAATTTAGATTAATTTACGTTCTCTTTCTCTTTCTGTTTATTACCAAATATTAATCACTATTTCAACTCTTCAGTTTTGTCAAATATATTTAGAATTTTTAAATTGTTCGACTTGAATGGTATCAATTTTTTACACATACAACTATAAAATGAGAATGTGAAGAATCTCGTATATTTAATATGTTGTATATTAATCTCTTCTTTGTCGATATTATATTTAATTTGCAATTTATTGAATAAGTTAAGCATATTATAAATATTTTCAATTTGGATAAATTTTTAGTTTAGCTTTTCCAAATTTTGGCTATTTTGCTACCGTTTCTTTAATAAAAGGTGCATTTTGTCACTAAAATAGAAAATCAATCGAGGAAGATCGAAAGAGTTGTACAGTTCTTGTTACTTTGTAAAAAAATTTATCATATTTGTCATATTATATTTATCATATTATCGTGTTTGTCATATTATATTTATCACATTATCGTATTTGTCATATTATATTTATCACATTATCGTATTTGTCATATTATATTTATCATATTATCGTATTTGTCATATTATATTTATCATATTATCACATTTGTCATATTAAATTTATCACATTATCATATCTGTCATATTATCATATTTGTCATATTATATTTATCACATTATCGTATTTGTCATATTATATTTATCATATTATCATATTATATTTATCACATTATCATATTTGT